CTCTCTCTCTCTCTCTCTCTCTCTCTCTCTCTCTCTCTCTCTCTCTCTCTCTCTCTCTCTCTCTCTCCATTTCTCTCATTCCGCGTGGTCTGCTTCGCGCCGCCATCTTGAAATGCAATGTCATCGGCGCGTCTCGTAAGCGCTCATAGGTAAAGTGGCGGAGTCGGTTCGCGGAGGTATCGTTCACGTTGCACGACAATTCTCCTTTCTCATCTCGGCAAACATGTCAAGCGGTGCGCTCTTCGGCAACAACGCGTCGCGCGGCGCCTCGAAAAACCTCGTCGAGTTCAAGGCTGGCAAGATGACCGTGAAGGGCAAAATGGTTTATCCGGACACGCGGAAGGGCCAGCTCTACGTCTACCAGTCCGACGACTCGCTGATGCACTTCTGCTGGAAGGACCGTACGAGCGGAGTGGTGGAGGATGTACGACGATTACTCTTGCTCTCGATCAGAGTCCCTCAGATTTTTCCGCGAACGGAGAAGCGTGCGCTCAGTCGCTCGCAGACGAGCCGCTCCGCTCACCGACTCGCATCTCGATCTCAGTATTTGCGTTAATTCCTGTTAAGTACACGGGTGTACGTATATTTTTACAATCGTTCGTCTTTTTAGGACTTGATTATCTTCCCGGACGACTGCGAGTTCAAGCACGTTCCTCAGTGCAAGACCGGCAGGGTGTATCTTCTGAGGTTCAAGTCGTCGAACAAGAAGTTCTTCTTCTGGCTGCAGGTACGGGAGACGCAGTTTCGCAATATACATTCGGAGAATTGCACTAGTTCGATGGGAATAGATGTGATTTACATCCGCCTCGCTCGTGTAATTTAACAGGAGTTTGATAAGTCCCAGTCTACAACAGATGATTCAAGCCTGGAGCAATTCATCAATCACAGTTGAAAATGGAAAGAATACTCGACGGTAATTGGTTAATTTTTCAGGGCTTGAATCGTCTATTGTAGACTGGGACTAATAGTGAATTCGGCAGTTTGCACTAGTGTGCAGGCAAGAGTGAGGGGAATAAATGCCTGTGGTTGGTTAATTTCTTACGGCTTAAGGCTTACAGCTTACTTAAAACAAGATTGTGGACCAGGGGTTACTGTGCACTCAGTACGCACTAGTGCAAGCTGCCAAATTTGCTGTAATACTTCATACGTTGCACCAGATTGAGCTCTGTCCATGTGTTAGCCTCCTAAGGGCCAATTTTACAAATGTCGATTAGCTGCTAACAGGTGGTTAATCGATTCTTTGTCTAGATAATAATATAAAAGAAGACAGTCGACTAATCTCTGGTTAACAATTGAGCGATATTTGTGGAACTGGTCCCAACCGTGAGGTGGGAGTCGGATGCAACCCAAGCTGCAGTTTGCTTTCCTTTTCTGTAAACAAAGATACAAGTTTCCCTCTATCTTTTTTTACTACTTTAACCACCGAAAAGAAGACACAAAGGACAAAGTGGCTCGGATCCGATCCCAGATAAAGCTGTAGAAATGCACCTTAGTATTGGAGAATTAAAAACATTTTACGGAACGCGCGTTTTTTCTCCCCCACAGGATCTCAAAACTGACAAGGATGAGGAGCACTGCAGGAAGATCAACGATGTACTTAATAATCCACCCACCCCGGGGTCCCAGAGAAGCGGTGGCACCAACGCCGAGGGGGATCTTCAGAATTTACTCAACAACATGTCGCAGCAGCAGCTTATACAGCTGTTCGGCGGCGTTGGGCAAATCGGTGGGCTGGGTAGTTTACTAGGTACAATGAATAGACCGCACGGTGTTCAGAGTACGAGGGCTTCCACTACGACTTCGTCCACTCCGGCCACTACGAATGTGTCCAGACCGCCCCACTCATTGACCCCGGGACCTAACGCGGACTCTAAATCCACGAGTGAGTGAATCGGTTCGCTCGAGCGGAGTCGGCGTATCTTAATAACGAATAATTCTTGCCTAGGTAACAATAAATCGTCGACGAGAACAACGGCTCCGTCCACGCCGGCTGCGACGGCGGCAGCAACTCCGAGCAATAGAATACAGCTTAGCGACCTGCAGAATTTTCTATCGGAAATTCCTACGCCAGCTCGGACGGAGCCAGCCGTGCAGGTAATATCACGTTGCTTTTCCATATCTACTTGAGTTAATTTGAACGTTGGATTTGGATTGAAACTTCGATTGAGGGATAATCGAATTTTCTAACAAATTACTGATTGATATGCAAATATAATGCAATGTTTCGTTTTTCGAGTACGGTAATAATCGAATTAGCAGAATTTCGAATCTGTATAGAATAGCAAGTACACTAGAAGATCTTGTGAGTGGAAGATGCCTCTGTCACAAGTTTTTAATGCTGTTGCTTGATATAAATTTATACAAACTTTTCTACAATTGCCCGATATCTCTTTTCCGTCATAGGTTTTTTTTAAAGCATCTATAATTTTTGCACGGTAAACAGTGCAGCTCTTAACAGATCAAACTTCAAGGGAAAAGATAAAAAATTAAAATTATCGTTTTATTAATTGGTTTAAGTTTGAACTTAGCTACTAAAATACTTGAAATTAGAAAAATGACGTCTTCGCTATGAAAAGTGTCTCAAAATTTACCGTAAGAGACACGATTAATATTTTCAATAATTCTGGGAGACTCTGCAAATGGCATTTAAGAATATCACAGCAGTGATGAAACGTCATATATTGAAATTGCATTATAACGAGTTTATCGAAAGTTAACGATGACTTGCCATAAACATGTGCATGTTGTATATCGATTTAATTAATAATAATGATATTATTTTGGTGCACAAATTCAATTTTTAGGAGTCAGTTTATATAACGTGTTTATTTTCGAACGTGTGAAGATAGGATTCAATCTCTTCTCTCATTCTGCGATAGATTGGGGTTGCAAGACCACACCTTTAATATGTTTTCAAGTCGTACGAGAGATAAATATTCTCATTAAATGTATTAATAAACAATATAGGTTTCGTTTATGCGTCAACACGCATCGTTTTCTTATAAAATGAGAAGGTATCGAGATCGGTCTTAAAATCATTGTCGTACAGAAGAGACATTTTCACAGTTTACACGAAAATATATAACATTGTAAAAACACAATAAGTAAACCATGAAACGGTACATGCAACCATAAACAGAAGAGACTCCGTGAACGTTCTCAATGTGTGAACGAGGTGCAATGTAGACAATTCAAGGAACAGTTTACTGGAACAAATTTTCTATCGTATATTACTAATTGTATATTTTTTACAGCTGCTATCACTGTCAGGGACATAAAGTGCCATTCTTGATAACAGAAGTTGCAGAATAACTTTCAGGCTCATTCAGTGTCTTACGAGTATTTTAAAACGGTTCTCTATCTCTCTCTCTCTGAGTGAACGAATTTTTCAGTTTTGTTATTCACGAATAGTTAATAACAATATATCATGTAATACGTTGGAACGCTGGATAGCTAACATTGAAAATGTCATTTACATGTACACTTCAATTAACATAACTATTGCTCAAACCTGTGGTGGAATAACGGACTTTGTACCCGACTAATGTACACTTCAATTGAATCGAAATTTTTATGTGTCGTAGCTATGTGTTAGTTTATGTGCTTGTAGATCGCAATGTCATTATAGAAGTCACGTGGTCGATAAGTTCCAGCTAACATGTTTTATAATGTTGTGTTTGCGTTTCTCTATCTCTGACACTCAGTAGGGTTTCAATAATCTATATAAGTGAACTACGTTACAGCCAACGCAGTTTTATGTAGTGAAACCGTTTCTCGGAATGAAAGAACATAAACATAAGATTCCGCTAGACACATTGTGAGTTTCCTACGATATTGTGAATTTACTAATACGTATTTGTTGTCAAGTTATTGGATACAAAGTACTTCGATGAGGAGAGAAGCACTAAAAGGCAGACGAGTACGCGATCGTTTTGAAAAATTCGGCGAGGTCGATCTGGTTGTCAGACTAATTGGTCATTAATCCAGAATATATGTCGCTGCAGAGCGAGACTTTAGATAATTGAAAAGACAGAGGCATGGTTTTCTCACTGTTCAATACTATCCTTTGCCTGAACTTTTCCTGGCTGTCGGAGACTCTGGCTCTGCTGAGCAGTTGGGGAAGTTTCTCCGGGTGTGTCTGTTGTTTTCGTCCAGCTACAGCGCAGCTTATTGTCCGGCAGAGGGGCGTAGCGACAGAGCTGACCAACGCTATCCCAGCGGCGATCTCTACGTCGGAGAGCCTGGAGAGTGCCATGAACACGCACTTGCCGCCCGGGGACAACCTGTCTACCACGCTATCGTCTCCCCAGTTCTCCCAGGCGCTATCAATGTTCTGGTCTGCTTTGCAGTCGGGCCAGGCGGGCCCAGTCGTCCATCAATTCGGCTTGGGACCGGACGCCGTCAATGCCGCAGCCACGGGAAACATTGAAGAATTCGTCAGCGCGCTGGAGTCCGAAGCGAAGAGCGGTCAGGGACAGCAAGCGCAACAGGGACAAGACGACAAGAATAAGAAGCAATCATCATCGGCCGCTAGTCCTGACAAGAAGGACGATGACGACGAGGGCATGGCTTTAGACTAAGGATAGGATTTTGCGCGCGTCCCTCCATTTCGGACGTGTTCCCCTTTTTCCATTCAGAAACCACAGACGCGTTGCATATTACGTTACAATGAATCTATACATACGCAATAAAACAAAAAAAATTCTCTATGAACGTGTTCTTCTTCGAGATAATTTAAACGTATACATATGTATAATTTCGATAAAAACTTTTTGTACGCGTACGTAAACGCTTCCCCCCCCAAGCGTCCGGAGAATCTGCACACTCTACATTAACGAGACATTAGCGAACACAATCGGTAGAGGCAGCAGATTTCGTCACGCGCTATCAAAATCGCACACATGTACGAAAATTAATATTATTCAACATTTTGTACACGGCATACGTTTACTGGATTTATTAAACTGCGAATATTGAAATAAAGCGATTTAACAAAACCGCATATGACGATTCGTGTATTGTGTGGCCAGACGTGCCTTCCGGTGCGTCTCGTCGCGCTGTTCAACGTCGCTTCAGAAATCGCGCTTTAAATTCCGACGATTATTTACAGACGTTTAAAATATTTCCGTAATAAAGAAAAAATTATGTGCCATCGACGAGCGCGACGGTCGAGCGTGGAATTTAAATCGTAAAGGAGGCAGAATGGCGGGAAAGCGCGGCCCAATCAGGCACTTTTGTTTACGACGCACAAGCGTTTTATTGGAGCTCCGCGATAATCGATATATAGCATCAGCTGAGCTTTATCGGCCTCTCAACCGAATCTGATGTAAAGAAACGAAACAAATTGTCGCCTCGTCGAATCATTATTGACGGTTGCGGCGCGTAATTGCGCGCCATCGTTCAGATTGATTTTCCTGGGGAAGGAAGGGTTAGGTCGCAAAAAGCAAAGGTTGCTCGGGGTGACGCCGTCGCTGTGTCGTCAGGTGTTCGCACGGTTGATCGCGGTGCTGTCCGATTGGCTGTTCGATCGTGACATCATTCAGGTGCGGCTGCGGGAGGCCTGAACGCTTGGGCCTCCGAAAAATGTCTCGAGAGAAGAAAAGACTGTCGAGCCCTTTTTTCCCTGGAGAAAGAAATGTTTGAAATCACTACAATTACAAAATAAAGGTACATCATTCCGAGTGTTGGATGACGCCGCGGCGGCCATTTCCGGAGCGTTCGTAAAATTGTAACGCCGCGAACAAGTCTCGAAGAAAAAAAAAGAGAAGAAAATAATTTCGATTATTGACGTGCAAAATGTCCTTTTATCCGGCGCTCGACGAAATCTTTCGAGCAGAGCGAACCGCGGTCCGCTCGCCGAGCTCGTTCCACAAACTGCGGAACAAGCGAGCGGACGTGACGCGCGTCTCCGAACTCCCAATCGATAGCGCCGCGAGTGCGCGATTAACGAGGCAGAATCTCGCGGGCGATCGTGAATCGGGCGAGCGCCGGTCGGCGGCACGGGCGTCGCGACGCGGCCCCGCGATCGAAGCAGCGGCGTCACCCGGCCGGGGCGTTTGTTTGTAAACACACCGTGGCGCGCGAGCGTAGACGGGGGTGGAGGGCGCCCGGCGCGCCACGCGCCGGCCCTGCGGAGCGGCCGGCGCGGCTGCGCGCCGCCGCGCGGAATCGAACAAGTAGTGGGGGGACGACTTCCTCGCGAAACGCTCGTCGCCGAATGCGCCACGGCGAAATTCCGCTGACAAAAGCCGCGGCGAAGTAGCGGCGTCGGGCCGGACCGCGCGAGGAGAGCCCCGGTGTTTTCCACGAGTTTCGCGTGCGACTACGAATCGGCCGCCGCGGCGGGCCGCGACGCGACGCGCCGCAGCCAGTGTCAACGTGAGATAAGCAGCGGGTATCGTAATTTTCTCCCAATGCCATTGTTGTGATAGCGGTTCCGCGGCGGTGGCGGCGGGTGTTGGAGCGAGCGCGGGGAGGGGCAGAGGGGGCGGGCAGAGGCTCCAGGGGGAAGCGAGAGAAAGAGGGAGAAAGAGAGAGAGAGCGAGTGAGAATCGAGGGGACGCGGCGAGGCGGTGTGTGTGTGTGTGTGTGAGCGCGGTACTCGCGCGCGCCGCGGCTCACGTACGTGTGTACGTGCGCACAATGGCAACCTTGACACTTGGTGATCGTTTTTGGCGGCTCCGCGCCGTGGAGATCGCGCGTCCGGCGGCATCGCGTCGCGAGTGAAAGCGACGGCGAGGCGGGCACGCCTCGAGTAACAACAGCCGGGAAAGGCGACTGGGAGAGGGAGAGAGTGAGAGGCGGAGAGGGCGAGCGATGCCGAAAGACGCGGGAGTGCCGCGTACGTGAACGTCGAACGTCGTCCTCGCGGCTGGCGCGATTCCGTCGCGCGTGCGTCCCGGCCGCCCTTTGTTTTGGTCCGCGCGCCGTCGTCCTCGTCCTCGGAGCGTGGCGGCGAGACCGTCACGCCGCGTCGCGCCGTGCCGTGACGCGTCGCGTCGCGTCGCGATCGTCGTCGTCGACGGCGGCCGAGGAAAGTTGAAAATTGAAGGTTAGACGAGAGAGCGACAAGTGTCAACGGTCGTTGTGCAAACTGTGTGATTCATCGGCCTCGTACGTGCGTCGTCGGTCGTTGCAGCGTCCGCCTTCGTGCGCGAAGCGATAAAACTGTGATAGCTCCGAGAGAGAGAGAGGGACCGATGTGTCTCCCATGTTAAACCTCGGGCGCGCGCGTAATTTAACGAGTCCACGCGCTACAGTGCGTTCCCGTGACGTCTCGTCCCTCGCGGCGATATAAATTAACATTTGTTCGCGGGCCTAAACTGTGCGAGATATTAATGTAACTTTGTGCGCATAGGCGGTGATAAATCGCCGCAGTTGTACGCGCTACATTTTATATACAATGTATCTCTTTACCGTTACGCGTACGTTGACTTCGTCGGGTTTTTCCGCGAGCGCGTCAACTCGGCGGATTTACGTAACTGTCAGCGGAACGTTCGAGCTTGATTTTGTGTCGCGCGCGTTGCTCGAGAGACGCGTCCAGCTCCGGAATCGGGGGAAACGGAGTCTCGTTGGGCTCGACGTGCGTATTCCCGGCGTTCGTCGCTCATTGTCGCTCGACGAAACGTCACTCGCGCGACCGGTCGGACGACCCAATTTCTTCACCTCGCGGCGCGACTAGAGGAAAAGAAAAGGGGGTGCGCGAACGCCGGGGTGTACGAGCCGACGCGGCGCGGCGCGGCGCGGCGCGGCGCGGCGTGGCGCGCGGTTCCGCGTGTGCGCGACGCACGCGGAAGCCGCGTCTCTTCCCTCCGCGTGCGCGTCGTCACCTGCGACGCTAGGGATTGATCTCGAGGGGGAGGGCAAGGGGGAAGACGAGACGCGATTTTGAAACGTCCGCGTTCTTGGACGACAAGAAGGTCGGCTCGCGTCCTTGGATCGCGTCCACTGTGCCAGAAATCGGGACCTCCCGAGAAATGTGTAGCTAATCAACTTGCATCCTTTAGCAGAGCTGCAGTCGATTGGCTACACATGTCTCGAAGCTAGACAAGTTCTAGCATCGTGGACAGGAACAGACTATAGCGCGTGGACTCGTTAAGTTATCGCACGGGCCTTAGTCTAATCTACAATGTGCTCTTTGCGTCTAGAAACATTCTGTTTTGTAGCCAACAAATAGAGGAAAGTCCTTTATCATGAGATAAGATTCTAATGTGAGATAGTAGGTTTTCAACGTCCAAATTCAATGACAAATTCAATGACGATAAATCGTTTTGCGCAACGATTATACGATCTGGCAATCAATTTTCCACTAAACAGATTTCACTCCAAGGGCAATAAATTCATGGTGGGATCAACAGATGATGCTTTTAACAGGGTTGGGAAGTAAACTCGTTGCTTGTAACGAAGTTACAGTTGTAGTTACTTTTTTTTTGATAGCTCTAACTTAACTTCGTTACTTTCTGTCCATCTGTAACTGTAACTTAACTCAGTTACATTAATAGTTACTGTATATATATATATATATTTTAAACCTCCACAGATTGCATTAGGTTTTGCATTTGCGCATGAACGCCTTTATCGGCGCTTTATAGTTCAAATGCAGACTCGATGTTTTTATTCTCATTGCAAGAAAGTAACTGCAAGGTAACGATCCGTTTTGAGTAAGTGCAACTGTAACGCGTTGCTTCTCAGAATTGGTAACTTGTTACATTTTTAGCGAAAAAACTGTGTAACCAGATACTTTTATAAAGCAACTTTCCCAACCCTGCCTGTTAACTTAGCGGAAACTGCGCTCTTATTACGAGCTCATAATAGGGGACTTTCCTCTACGTCTAAAAAATTTGTGCAAGGTGGCAAATTGCACATTTGTACATTGTGCAATCGTACGTTGTCGGCAAAGTTTCTCAGCGTTTTGATTTGCTGATGTAAAATGGAATGTTTCCAGACGCAAAGAGCGCATTGTAGATTAGGCTTCAAGACTTAGGGTCAGGGCGCAAAGCAACGTAATAGCTTACGACAAAGACGCAAGCGTAAACGTAGACAGCGCACAAGCGTATGTCGTACTTGCCTCCAATTACACATGACTTCACGCCAAGCTTGTGCGCTATCTACGTTTAGTGTTGGTCTACAACCTTGCTTTAGGTAAGCTGTAAGCCTTAAGTCGTAAGAAATTAACCAGTCGCAGGCATCTATTCCTCTCACCTGTGATTGGTTAATTTCTCGGCTTAAGGCTTGCAGCTTACTTAAGGATGTATTGGACGTACAATCTTAGACAAAAGTGCATGGAATTGGAATTACTTGAATATCTACTCTTAACGCATAGTAAATCTAGATGTAAGAAACTTGAACGATAGTTGGAGTCTTATTTGTACTCCTACAAAGGTATTTTTCACTTTACAAATGTTTTTTCCTGCATTATTAACGATTTTTTTCACTTATGAGCCTAAACTTTTGATAGTGAAAATACCCTGATTTCAATTTAAATAGTTATATCTCTGCAACCGTTTAGTGGATGCATTTTTACTTTTCTGCAGTACATTGGGAAGACTAAAAGAACAATTTCACAAGTTTTTAGCGACTTTGTACTATTTTCAAGACAGGTCCGATACATCCTTAAAGCAAGGTTGTAGACCAACACTTGCGCTTGCGTCTTTGTCGCAAGCTATTGCGTTGCTCTGTGCTCTGACCCTTAAAGTGGTTACGACAATCTTTCTGCTCAGGCTCCAATACGGAATCTCGGTTGTCGCGAGGAGCCGCCGGACCCGCTAGATACGAGGACGAGACAATCGTACAAAGACGCGAGTTTTTTTTCCCTCGTTTCGAGGGTCGGCGCCGACCCTCGCGTTTCCGCGTTCGGACTAAGCTCGTGTCGCGTGGCGCGCGGTATTGCGTTACACAGCCCACATATTAGGCGTAATACACATCGATTACATTACGTCGCTCGGAGAGCAACATGACGCAATCTGTTATGAAACGTCTCGCGTAATGACGTTCGCGTCCCGCTCGGAGCCGGAGCTCGCTCTCGTTTTACGTAAAGCGTATCGCGGCGAAAAATTCCGGTTTATTTAACACTATTGGAATTGAGATCGATGAAACGCGACGAAATGCACTCGTGGAAATGAGAGGAAGATCCGCGAGCGGCGAGGGCGTTTCGCGACTTGTCTAAACGCGCGGATTATTGATGAACGGGGGCTTTTGTCTTCATTCATAATGTTATCGCTCGGCGGCGAGGTGGAAATAGCGTCGGAGAAATGTCATACCGTCCAATCGATGGCCGCGCTTCGTGCGCCTAAGTGCATTTTATTTCAAAGGCTACGCTGCACCCCCGCGAGTGTCTCGTCCGTCCAAGTAGAGCACTGGCCTTTCCCTCTTCCTTCGCGGAAAGGGACGAAGGACCGCGTCTTGTCGCGTGGGGAAAAAAAGAAGGCGGATTATCTTATCTACTGTCATTATCTCCCCGCGATATTAAATATTATCACAGATACGCAACAACGGCGCGATCGAGCAAACGAGAGAAATATCGTCGCGGGCGTCGCTACGTCGGAAATTACACTCGGACTCGCTCGTTTTCTCCGAGATAAAAAAAGATCCATCCCTTTCTCGCAAGCCACGGATTTGCGAGCTGCGTAGGGCCTCGCGTTATTCGTAAACGAACGCTTAATAGCGAATTCGATTGCTTGCACTAGTGCGCACTAAGGCCAGTTTACAGTCAATTTTTATATTTGATATTTTCTAATTCGACCCTGTCTTATTCGACGACGATGACTGACTTACAATTAGGTGCGTTTCTTAACTTCTGTCCGTTTCACTTGTTACCTTACGTTATTTCGTAATTACGTTTGTTGTTGATTTGCAGTACCACTTGATAAAGGCCTAAAAAAATAGGGTCGAAACGTTGTAGTAAACTAGTAAAGTAACTAGCCAGTTGGGTTGACTACAAGTTTCCCGTCTCAATTTTTTAATCATTGCTGGTGACAATAAGCAAACTCTCTTTTCGTTTTATATTTAACCTTGTCTCAAATACATGTTCAAGGACTATTCAGCCGAAAAGTGATCCGTATGGACGCTGTACAGGCCATTTTGCTGGCTACGAAATATCTCAAGAGATATTTAAGGCGATTCTTAAATGTTTAAGTTGACTACGAGCAAGCCTTAGTGCGCACTAGAGTCCAAGCAGCCGAATTCGCCGCAAGTAACGCAATTTGCAGAGGGCAAAAACGGAGGAGCGTACGGGGGGGGATAAAAGGGAGAAGGAGAGAAAGACAGCCTCTGGCCGCCCGTGATCTCGCGAGTGCGCGCGCGGGGCACCTCGACGAGGTGCGCCGGCGACGGGGATCCCCCTAACGCGAATGTTCTTGCAGAGAATCACGTGGTCACGTGAAACGCGCGGACGTTGACGTCGCAGCGAGGCAGCGCGAGGGATGCGCTCGCCCGTGTTCGCGAGTGATCGCCGCGGCAGCGCGGCCGCCGCGACCGCGTAGTCCCCGCGTGGTCGCGCACGCGGACGGAACAGTACACGTCGCAACAGTTGTGCACCGCCGTCGCAGTCTCGCGTGCGAGCCGCGGCCGAGGATGCCGGTGTGAAGTGGAGAACGAGAAAAAGAGGAAAAAATATATATATATACGGAACGCTCCGCGATCCTTGCATGTTGTAAATTTTACCTATCGCCCCGAGGATACACCCAGAGAAACAAGGTGAGCGCGCTCGAGTTCTCGAGGCGAGAGAGGGGGGAGAGAGAGAGAGAGAGAGAAAGAGAGAGAGAGGCGCCCGGGACTCGAAGACCGATGACGAAATCTCGCCGAGTTCAGGTCCTCGAGCGAGAATCTTTTCCTCCAACGTGAACTCGTGAAGGGTGAAAAATTTTCATTGACGACTTCGATATTGGTCAATAAAATTTTTTTTTACTTTTCACGAGTTCAGGACCGAGCCCCAGGTCCCCGAGCGAGAGTCCTTTCCTCCAACGTGAACTCGTGAAAATCTTCACCGACGACTTCAATATTGGTCGATAAAATTTGTTACAAAAGAAACGTTACAAATTTTTAAGGCCAATAGTGCTACGAGCAGTGTCCAATTTAATACAACAATAAAATTAGGATGTTTAATAATTAAGCGCATAACGTAGTTATCTTACTCTAACTTAAAATATATAAGATGACGCGTTTACCTAACATCTAAAGATGTAATAACAAAAAAATTGAAATTTAAAAGTAATAGTTTAAATTGACGTTAAAATTTGTTACTTTTCACGAGTTCGCGCTAGTTTTCCTCTCAACGTGAGCTCGTGAAAAAGGTGAAAATGTTCATTGACGACTTCGATATTGATTAGTAAAGTTGTTCGCTTTTCACGAGTCCACGCCGAGGTTCGATCATGAATCGTTTCTTCTAGCGCGAACTCGCGAAAAGTGAAAGATTTCATTCAGGAATAGCGAAATTCTTCAATGAAATTTTTCACCTTGCACGAATTCACGCTAGAGGGAAAGATTCACGATTGAGCCCCTGATCGAGCCTCAGTTCACCAAATCGCTCCGTCGCCGTGCACGCAGGCGGAGATTGAACTCGTCGAGATTGTCGTTTTGCAATTCCATACTCTCTTTTTTTTCTTCGTCCTTCCACCGCCACGTTAACTCTTTCAAGACACCGATGATTTGTCCTCGGGAGAGATCTTTGTTCGTCGGGAGATTAAGATGGAAATCGAGCGTATTCTGTTCGCTCGACTTTCGTAATATCTCGCTACTGAATCGGCGCGTCTGAAAAACTGCATAAATTGCAGAAGTTGAGGAGTTTCTTCCTCCCTTTTTACACTTTGCTGTCGTCCCGTTCACGCACGGCCGAAAGATCGTCTTGAAGGAGTTAAAGTCACTTTGTGTAGCACAGATTGCTTTGTTTGCGCAGCTTTTAATCTTCACGCGCTTCATTAATTTATGTTTCGACACACTGCTTAATTTGCTTTGTATCTACCACTTCTTTCAGACACCGTGCGGGTCGCTTCGAGTAGCTACTTGAGAATTATGCGACTATTTTTCCCCCCCGATTCCGAATTACGACGAGCCTTCACGAGCCACGTTTCCGGTCGAAGGCGATCGGCTCCGTGTATTTAGCGCTAATTCGTGCACGGACCAAGAAAATTGACCAGGAATCAAATTATCCCGGGAGCGATAAAAGAATCGTCTCGAGAACGTCGTGCCCGATGCGTGCGCATTAGTTTATAGGATTAGCAACCTGGAAGCCAGAGCCCGGTGTGTGCGCGCCTCGGCGTTTCCGTTCGTGCTCTATTACGATTTTATTATCGCTCGCGTAAAACGTGTCGCGCGGCTCGGCGCCGTCCGTCTCGGTAATTCCGGGCCGTCGTTAATTGCGAGGTAAATTTGTTCAGGCGAAACCGCGCGCGAGCGGACGAGTCTTTATTTTCTGACGATTATTTTCCACGCGGCGAAGGTGCCGATTTCTTACTTCAAGTCCGGTTTAAAACGCGAAGACGAAGTAGAGAGAGAGAGAAAAGGAGAGTGCTGTGGAAAGAATATACGTCCGCAAGGACGATAGCGGTGCATGGCCAGGACAGACAAAGAATGAGGGGAACGAGAGACGCGTGCATACCGACGAAATGGAAGGAAGCACGTGAGAGGAGAGACAGAGGCGGAGAAAGAGAGGAGATACGAGGAGGAGGAGGAGGAGAATGGTGGGCAGAAGAAAGGAGAGGCGAAACTACTCGGCAAACTTGAGAAACGAGAATCGCACCGGTCCGCCGAACTTCTCGTAGTTTGTTCGAGCGATGTCGCGCGTTATTTTTCTGCGCATTCGGCCGTTAATCGCGTCTCAAAGCAATGCAAAAGATTCGCGTTTCTCCGAGAATAGGTATCGCACCAGCGAGAATAGAATCGGAACGATTCGCGATTGCGTGAAAATATTAAATCGCTCCAGAAGCGATCGACAATGTGCTCTTTGCGCATCTAGAAACATTCTATTGTATATAAGTAAAACAAAACGCTTAAAAAATTTGTATCGATAACGTACAATTGTACCATGTACAATTTATCAACCTGCACAAATTTTTTAAATGTTTTTATTGATTACGAAATAGAATGTTCCTAGACGCAAACAGCACGCTGTAGATTAGACTCAGTTGTCACGCCGGTGACTAGTAACATAGGAGAAAGGAGTAAATCTCGTAAAATTATATTAACCGCTGTAAATGAGAAGAAAATATAGATTGTGCAATCAATATCTAAACTAATTTAGATTTTTCATTGCCGCATGAGACGTCAGAGTGTGAGTTTTCCTTCATCTTTGTCTGTTTATCGATAAGTGTCGTGTTCAAATAGGATGCAAACTACACGTGCTGAAATAATAGCTCTGCGTGAACCAAATGCCTTTCTTGTAAAAGACGCGTGTCTAAGAGAGACAACGAAAATGATAGTGCGATCAGTTGTGACTTCCAAGTAATCGTTACAAATTTTTTAACTTGAATTCGTCCAAGTACCCACTTGCCGGTTTATATTTTATATATCTACGGTGCATTTGCATAAGTATCGTACGCAGCTCTTGTTCGTAGCTACCGTTACTAACGCAGAAATTGTTCGAATACGCTTCGTCTCGCTCAGAGCTTCTATGCAAAATTTATATAAATTTTTCGGAAATAATTGTTTATTAAAACTTAACATGTTTCGTATAAGATCCTTCGGCACTACAGTTCAAGCCGTTGCCTAAAGTTTAGCTCGATCGGCCGCTATGACCCATTCGAAGCCCTTCTTAGTTTTTTAACGATAACTTTCGGCAGAACAGACTTTCAACTTAGCGCTTATCCCTAACTTGCGAGGACCAAACTGCGCATTAGTTTTTTAATAACATTTTATTATCAGCACGAACCATTTGTGACACATTACATTGACGACGTCGTATGTCTCTTCGTGCAGTAGTGAGGAACGCAGAATTCTGTCACTCATCATCGCGTGAGTTTTGACGCCGTGAAGCTTGCATGGTTGCGACGCGCGTAAAAAAATTAATGACGGTACACGACAACATTAAGCGCGCAGAAGTGTACTTAGACGAGCAAGTGTACGGGACGTCTCGCGAACTGAATTCGCTACGCGCATTCTCACTCGACGGGTCTTATAGTTATAAACCTCGAGAGGATAAATGCCACGAGGAAGGTACCCGCTACGAAGCAAATGACAAAGACGTACCAGGTCTCTTCGTCAAACACGTCGGTGAAGGCCGGGACTTGACTGTAGAGGATGTCGATAAGTCTTAAATTGTAATTTTTACTGCTCCCCGGTTGAGCCTCCATGCTCAAGCTATCTTCCTTCCCGTACATGTTAAGCAACTTTTTTTCGGCTTACTGCAGTCGAATTGCTCGCGCCAAATTAAATTTCTAAATTACTTAATACAAATCGAATGTTTCTTGGTGCTCAGCAAATGGAAAGTTCCGTGAGAATACAAACGATGGTCATTATTGATATCTATATTGGCTTCCGTCTCTTTCGACCTAATTTAAATAGATACATGTAATACGGGCAAGTGTTTATACGCTATAGAAAATGGACCCGAGATCGGCAATTTGTACTCGCGTGAATGATTATATTCTTGCGAGATGTCGAGAAACAGAGTGAGAGTGACGTATCGAAGGGATATTATTTAGAGACACGCGTTTCGCTGGAGCGGATCTCCGAAGAACTTATATATTGTGGTACACTCCTCTACGCTTGCTCCATAATTTGATTCTGTGATGCGGTCGCTTCTTCTTCTTTCTCCTCTCTTCCTGTAGCGCTTTTTTGGCCTCGAGCACGGCCGGATCGGGCGGGACCAGGCTGGTGATGTGCTTGTTGTAAAGCTCCAAAATGTTCAGGCTCGTCAGAAGGCCCGTTTTCACCACCACTTTCTCACCTGACTCTGAAAAAAAGAACCGGGTTCGGGGATGATATTTGATTGCGTTCGCGGTCGCGGGAGAAAAGGTACTGGAGAAAGATCGTTCAGGTCCGGTTGCACCGACTCCAGCTTAACTCAATCTTCGTCTCTTTCTAGCCGTTTCCCTTAGGGCCAGTTTCACAAACGTTGGTTAACTGTTAACCAGAGTTCAGTCAACTCCCTATCTTTTTCCATCTCATTATCTAAGAAGAGACAGAGAATCAGTTAACCTTCGGTCAGCAGTTAACCGACGTTTGTGGCACTTGCCCCTACAAAGAGTGAGTTAAACCGAGGCTGAAGTTACGTTGGTGCAACCGGGCCTTAGGACCAAGGTTTCCAACAGCTGTTAACTCTTAATCGACCGTTAACTTTTCCGAATAGCCAACAGAAACTGAAGATTAATAGTCTGTTAACAGTCGGAGACAGTAGACCTTGTGTCCGTTTCTACCAATGCAGATTAACTTTAGTCTCGGTTTAACATCTTTTGCTAGGCTTAAAAATTAGAAAAAGAATGAAGGCAATTTAAACGGAGGTTAAAGTTAATTGGTACAAATGGACAGTAGACGAATAATTTTGACGAGTGGACGTTAACTCCATCGGTTCGCCGAATGAAGCTCCTGATTGGCGCGATCTCCTGAAGATACGAATGCGCTCTCAATTTGATCACTACGCATCTTTCGCTTCGTATTCTTTTTGTTTTGTCGAATCGCACGCAATTGCTCGCGCGAATGAGTCGGACGCGAACGACAATTCCATACTTTTGCCGCTATACTCACGAAGGCTGAACGTGACGATCGGCTCGGAACGGTCGCACACGATCTCCGTTTTCAGCGAGCACTGCGGGTTCGTCGCGCGGAGTTTCGAGCCGCTAAAGTAAAACAGAAAGTCCCTGCAAGTAGAAAGAAAAGGGCACTTTGCATGTCACTGTGTCGATCTGCGTGCCTCGCACAGTCTCTGTACGCTCTATCTTTTTTTTTGTTTATGTGAAAAATCGCAAGATTAAACCGCTTAAGTCTACGTTCTGTGTTGTTTTGCTTCCTCCCTTTTCTTCTTCTTCTTTCCCTTTGCAGTTTCGCCTCGCGACAGCTTCTTAGTAGAACGCGATTCGCTCTAACGCCGCCACCCCGTTGCGTCTCTCAACGTCTGTCGTTTACTTTCGCAGGCAAAATGGCACAAATGGAGCAGCAATTACCGCTTCCAATGCCAGATTTAAGTACCCTTCGTATAACCACAGCCGTCTCCATGCTCGGCAAAGCGTATGGATGTGGCCAGTGTAATGGTGAGTAACATTCGTTTGAGTAAAGACCTGGGTCCACGATGCTAGTGCTTGGTCCAAGTTCTACTCTCGAGAAATGTGTAGCCAATCAGCTATTCCATAAAAGCTTGAACGTCTAGCATCGTGGACACAGACCTTAATTAAGGCTGCGAGCGGCGGGAAAGTCACGTGTGTCGTCCGAGCATTTCTTTTAACAACTTCACGATTGCGCGCGAATTTACGACGGGAGGGAGACAACAAAAGTGTTCCCTCTACAGTCCAAATTTCATGTCTCTCGCACATTTCTGGACATCTGTGTTTGAGTACTTTTGCGTATCGTCTCCGCGGTTATCAACCGAAGCGGAAGTAGATTATGGAGAATTCTATAAATAAAGGGGACAGGCAGAAAATACACGCGCGCGCGCGCCATGTTGTTCTTTAATTTAGCCGAAATAGCAAGCTGCTTTCGATCTGCACACGTAAGCCATTTAATTTCTATATTACACGAATGTTTCCACGAAACATGACAGTTTTAAGTGCAAAAGTGCAGAATCACTCCAGCATCCCCTTAAAGTGGAATGATCCTTCAAGTATAGTGTTTTAACTCACAAATAGATTTAATATCGCCAGTAATATAAAACCAATGATATGTAGTTTTTCAAAAGCGACCTACACTGGCCAACGTTTTTATTTAAAAAACAAACGACGTTTCGGTCCCGGATTTGGACCCCTTTCAAGTAATCTTTTCACACAATTGTTATCGATCTCATATCGTTCGTTTGGCCAATGTCATTGTGTTAATAAGATATTGGTCAAAAGATGATTGCACTCCTTGGTTGAAGAGTGCAGAGTCAACTGAAGTTGCATTGTTAATTATACGACACGAGTAAAAATATCGAGAGATGTGTGTTAGACGAGATGTCGGATCGAACCGTGTAGCGTTTTAATATATTGTAAACCAATCGCAGAGCCGTCGTCAACTTGCACCTCCGAAGAGCTGCAAGTTGATTTGGCCACACATTTCTCGGAACTAGAACTTGGACGCAATTCTCGGATCGTGGACACGAGGCATAAAGCGTCATTCACATCACCTGCTACTCGGGGGACGCGTCGCGCGCGCGTGCGCGCGAAAAACGAAGGATCGGAGCACACGCACGCACAGACGCGAATTAAAATACACGCGTGATCAATCGAAACGGGGCGTAGCGAGTATCGCGAAAGGGGTTCCGCGAGATCCGGGGTTACAAGGCCGTCCGGAACAAGCGGCGGGCTTCGTCCCGCGGTCCGGACGCGCGAAACGACTCGCGTCGTCGTCGTCGTCGTCGGCGAACGTCCAACGTCCAAGTATCGAGCGCAACCACGAGAATACGTGTACGCGCGCGAACGTCAAAGTCGGCGCGGCATCGAGGAATCGCCAAGGGCTGGGGGCGACGGGTGGAGGGCGAGGGATTTCCGTTTCCCTCCCGGCTCTTTACCTGCTGCGTACGGGCGTGTTAAAGCGGATTATCCGGGCGACACGCGGGGCACCGGGAACTCGCGTCGGATCCTCCGGAGCTACCGTCTCTACCTCGACTACCGTCGCGCACAGCGCGCACGATCGCGGGAGGGGGGGGGGGGGAGGAGGGAGAGACGGTTCTATAAATAACAACGGGAGAGCTGCGCATATCGTCTGCTAGCCTGGCGCCGAGGGTTGCGCGTTGCGCGTGCGTACCACCGTGACGTCACCGGCGGTCGGAATCGTTACCGAACCGACGTCGCGGGTGACGTCGACCAATCCCCGATTAACGTCCACTTAACGGCTATCGGACGCCGATTGCCGACTTTGATCTCCGGTTGTATTAATTTTTTTATCGTTCTTTTTTTTTTGCAATTCTTAGAATTACCACATTCTCCGGTCCTTTCGTTAGAAAAGATAAAGAGCGGGTGAAAGCGCGAGACGTTAATCCGCATCGGTAAAACTGGAAATTGACGTTGACTTCAGTCTCGGTTGAACTTGCTCTTTGTCTTTTCTAGAAATTGAAAAACGATGAAAAATAAAACAGAGACTGGAGTTTATTGACGAAAGTGGACACGAGTCAGTCGGAAGGACGCGATGTCGCTCGAAACATTTTCGCCGCGGTCTGAATGAAACATTCTGAAAGATTAATACGCGTAAAAAGCAATAAATGCTCCAGGGGCTCAATTCTGTATCTTACAATATGGCGAAGATGTTAAAAGTGGGCGGTTTTGTCTCCAAGAAAACGGTTAGAAAGAGACAAAGCTACTCGCTTCTAGCATTTTCACCGTAGTGTACGATACAGTATTGAGCCCCTATTCAAGATCTCGCACGTCCGAATGTACATCGCGTAAGAAGGAAAATGGCAGATCAATTATACGGGAGACCCCGTTAAAAAATTCCCCGTTCGACTCTTCGCGAAAAGATCCCGCGCGTTCTCTTCGAAGATGAGAAAACCAAACTAAGCGGATGCGCGATATCTATTTCCATAATTCCCGCGGAGTCGCGAGTGTCGTGACGCACGTCCGGCCGGCGCGGGCAACTTCAGGGGACTAACCTCGTCTCTTTGGCCCGAGCGTCGAACGGATCGAAACGAACGTCGATCTTGCTGACGGGCTTTAGATTGACGCGCCTCAGCTGCTTCATGATCGCGCTGATCGCGCCGGCGGAGCGGGTGAGGGTCCCGGAGAAGTGAATCGACATCGCGGGCGTGAAACCAGGAGACGACTCCACGAATGCCACGCGCCTACCGCTCGCGGCGTCACTGCCCGGAACTTGCCGCGCCAGCGCTGCCAACTCTCGGCGAGCCACGCGGGTTGGCGGCGCTGATAAAACATTGCGCAACGGCGATCGCGTCGCGTCGTGCCGAGACGGGTTCTCTCGTTCTTTTTCGTTACCGCTTGACTATCGTTTCGTAAATAACAGCGAATTGCCAGCGAGCCATGTGTCCACGATTCAAGAACTGTGTCTGGGTTCTAGTTCCAAGAAATGTGCAACCAATCAACCTGTATCTTTTATGGAAAAGCTGCAAGTTGATTGGCTACGCATTTCTTGGAACTAGAACTTGGACACAGTTCTTGGATCGTGGACACAAGGCTTTAGACTTGTTTACGGTCAATTCTTATATTCAAGAATCGTCTTAAATATCTCTTGAAATATTTCGTAGCCAGTAAAATGAGCTGTATAGCCATCCATACGGATTATTTTTGGCTAAATACTCTATGAACATGCATTCAAGACGAAGTTAAATATAAAAATGGACTACAAACAGGTGGTCAATTCTACATTTTAAGCCAACGGCATACGATACTACTTTTCCTACCGGATTGCTTACGAGAGCCAATCAGAATGTATTTGTGGGATAAACTTGAATCATCTGATCTGAAACTCTGCATCCTTGTTGGCTCTTTCAAGCAATCCAGTAGGAAAAATAGTATCGTCTGCCGTTGACTTTACACTGTAGTGAAAATGCTAAAAGTGAGTAGCCATGTCTCTTTCTGTCTTCTTAAAAAGCAAAATACAGAATTGACCCCCAGACCCCAGGGTCTATCCAGACAAACTTGCATCATTTACGAAACGTGCCCAGGAACAACGACCGATAAAAGAATCTCTTACCGATCGCGCGATACGATATTGGTAATTCGTGACGTCATTCTTATCCACGTTCGACTTGAGCGTCCTGATGTGCGTCACATGTAAATTATTTACTTTCTAAAAGTAATTATTAATTATTAATATCGCGAACAAGTCGATCGAGTCAACCGGCTGCAAGCTTTATTTCGCGACTTTATCCCGCTTTCTATCAACATTGTTAAACTTTGATTTTACTTATAGCGAATTTGATTGCTCGTACTAGTGGCCTAGTTTACACCGTGCACTTAATACGCGTATCAAACAGCGTATTTGAACTGATTAGCCCAATGACTAAACCAATTTACTAGTTATTTACTATTTGTTACCATTTGATACGCGTATCAAGTGTACGATGTAAACTAGGCCAGTGCGCACTGAGTGCGCACTAGGGCCTGTTTATAGTCAATTTTTACATTTAACTTTGCCTTAAGGCCTGTGTTCACGATGCTACTTGGTCCAAGTTTTGGTTTCGAGAAATGTGAGAAATGTTTTTAAGGAATAGCTGATTGGCTACACATTTCTCGGAACTAGAACTTGGACCAAATTCCAGCATCGTGGACGCAGGTCTTTAAATGCATGTTCAAAGAGTATTTAGTCAAATGTGATCCGTATGGATGCTATGTAGATCATTTCACAGGTTAAATATTTCGAGAGATATTAAGAGACGATCCTTAAATATAAGAATTAATTGTACAAGCCTTAGTGTGCGCTCGGTGCGCACTAGTGCAAGCAACCGAATTCGCTATTAATTAGTATAGTTCATTCTCTGTCTCTTTCCAACTGTCCCCTTAGTGAGAGACAAGGGTTGAATTAAACTGATTGTAAGATCAAAGTGAAACGACGTTGATGAAAACCGTAATTAGTCCTTCTGATTTTCTGTGTCTATAGTTACATCATTGCACTGAATAAATTATTATTATTCTTGTCGTTACCGTGTTATATAAATATTATAAATGGTCCAAAGAATTTATTAAACAATGTAATATTTCAACATTTAAATAAATGTTGTTATATATTGTAATTTTTAATGTAACGTATGGAAGGAAAGATCGAGGATTAGACACGTGTGATTTAAGGACTTTTATGTCGAATCGAACGAAATCGACAAAATTTCATTCGAATCGAAGCGAATTCAGTCCATCGCTATAGACGACTTTGACGAAACTCCGATTAATTTGTCAAGTGACGCTAGCTGTTGTGCATAGAATGAATTCCCTGCCATGTAACATATAGAAAAAGATTAGAGGCGATTTATTAGAAATTTCTGTCGATTGAATTAATCGGATTTTTTTTTACGACGCGCCATATTATAAGATAACGAATAACGGCGATGGCTAATAGCGCAGATGAGGAATGATAAGGAGAACAACGGCGCGTCGATTGAATCTTCCGGGTTGGTGGTCATCGCTATTTTTATCCGCTCGTCTCGTTAATCGAACATTCGTACTAAGGTGAAAAAAATTCCTCGCGGCATCGCCGATATCGACGGGCGTTCGATCTCTTTTTCCTTTACTCGACATCGAGAACTCATCGTGCGTCAATTAACGGAAGCTCCCGGCTAATTGGGACGGGCAATTCCCTCCGCGGAGGGAGAGATTCGTCGGGAAGGCAATTCGAACGATTGCGCGGATAGCGCGCGCAACGTGCGGAGTTCGGCCGCGAGGCGCCACGGGTCGTCGGGCGCGATCGTCGTCTGTCGCGCGGCGATTGGCCGGCGCGCGGCCAATCGGCGCCGCGCCAGCGGACGCCATTGCGGAGGGATAGGTCTCGTTTGGTGGTGTCGTTCGCAGTGTGTGTTGTGGGGAAGCGTGTGGTGTGGCCAGTGGGGTCTTGTGTTGAATTTTTTTACTTATTTATTAGTGGTTATCTGGTCTTTTACACTCGGCGGCAGCGAGAATGTACCCCGCAGGACAACGTGAGTGCCGTCGCGCCGTCGTAGCCCCGCGGGGCTCCGCGGAAATGCCCGTAAACACGCTCGAGCCGTCCCCCGCGGATGTTCCTCGCTACGGAGCGAGTCTCCCGCGGGCTCGCGCACACCCGTCCGCTCGCGCGGCGCACGCACGCACGCTCCGCTCGCTCCTCGCGGCGGCCCCCGAGCCCCGGGCGCTCGTCTCCTTCCGTCCCGGAAACGCCGTCGCGACGCCCGTGCGTGCGTGAGGACACGCCGAATGACCTCGGATGAACCTCGTTCAACAGGCACGCGTGTCGTCACTCACCCGCGACTCGACGCGACGGCCACCACGCGTTGGCTAATCTGCCCTAGCGTTTCCCTCTCTCCGGATTACGATCTTATCCGCCGCGCGAGCGGAGGATTCAGGCGTTCGCACGTTGGTGCGGACGGTGGTAGGGAAGACCTATTGACCTTTCGCGCTCCGCCAGGGAACTGGCGGAGCCCCCCTCGCGCGGAACCGCGTCCGAGGTCCGCGTTGCAGGTGGAAAACCTATCCCGTGCTTAGACGAGCCAGCTGTGTCACATGTTTCCGATATGAGTCACGTTTTAGAGGACTATCTCGAGTCAGAGGCATCGCCGGAAGGAGTCCGGAGCGTTACAAGAGCGTGCAGCATGCTTAGAAAATTATTAGCTGACATTCGGGTCCAGTGACAACTCGTTGCCATTGCGTTCACAGTGCATAATCCGTTAATTAAATCAGTTAAGGAATCCCTGGCGACCTACGTCGACTTATCTCTCAATCAGAAATAGATGTTCGGAGACCAGTTTTAATTTTTTCCCCCTGATACGAGCTGTCTATAGACCGTTAGGCTACTATTTTACTTGTCGAGATAGAAAACTGGTCGACAAATGAAATAAGTAACTCCCCACGTGTCGCGAATGGCCGCAGAATGAAGAAATTTCGAAAAAATCGAGAACCGCTCTTGGCGACGTAGCCAGTCAGTACGTTCGAATAGTCATCGTAGGGCAATTCGAGTATTAGCCTGAGGGTGCTGTTTCATGTGTCATGTGACACGTTTTTCAAGCTGCTGATTGACCACAGGATTTCTGATATTCTTCGCAGAATAGAGATTTCCCGGAGGCTCGGAGGCTTCGCTATTCTTCACTAGCCAGTGGAAGCAATGAAGAATTCGTTGTGCGCCGAGTGAAGATACTCTTAGCTTGCCTGCTTCGATCTTGTCTCAAAACGATACAAGTTTCATTCATCAGCGCATTATTAACTTGAAATGTTTAAACTTGCGTTACCATGTCATAATAATTATTATGGAAGAATCTATTTGTCAATAACGAGTTAAGCGGACAGGGCGTCCAGGGTCAGGGAAATCTGGAAAACCGGGAATTGTCGGGGAATTTTAGAAATCTGGAAATGTCAGGGACAAAGTCCGGGAATTTTACGATTTATCTGGATCTTTTTACATCGTTTCACAGTTTCTCTGAATAATTTAAAGTTTTTAGAAAATAAACGTGTCTTTGGCTCTCAGTACACTAATTTTCTGTTCTGCTAAACATCAATTTATTTATAAGCGTGATCGGTAATTTATCTCTTAATCGTCGTTATTTTATTTCAATGTGTTCAACTGAGACAAAACTATAGAAAAAGATGCATTACTAAACAGTGCTATCTAATATTCAATGTGAGAAAGGGCAATGAGAGTCGAATATTAAGAAAGGACAAGAAATAAATATATAAAGTTAATGAAATAAGAGTACTATCTAAGTTACTATCCAGTAAGTTGCAAACAAAATGCAGTTAAGCAAAACGAAAGCATCGTATATGATTACGTACGGTATCACAAATGGTTTGAGTGGCTTGTAATGATATGTTCGTTCCTATTGCACAATGTATTATACATAGATGGTATAATTGCTTTAATTTAAATTCCGGACTTTTGTTTCCCGAGAAAAATATTTCAAGGACTTGGTCATTTAACATTTACCTGATTTATGCATCTTGAAAAAAGCTACGCTAAACGGTCAGGGAAAAATTAATTCCGGCCCCTGGACAACCCGAAAAAGTCGAGGAATTGTTTTCATTGGGTTTGCTGGACATCCTGACAGAGGAATGTTTTTAGAGAAACATTTGTTGCTACACTTCCAACAGTGGATTAAAATTCGTTTAACGAAGTACCGTTTGTAGAATCTTATGATTTTTGGAAGATTCGCGATGAAAAGGCGTTTCTCTGTGCGGGCGAAATGCGGGGTTTAGAAGCGAATTGATGCGTTTGATCAGAAATAGACAGTGAAAGCTATTTCAGCAGAATAATCTTGGCATTTAGATGAATTCGTTAAGCAAAATCACGTTGATATCTCGGCGACAAAATGCTAGAACATAGATAAAACGTAGAGTGGCAGATAAAACGATAGAAATGTTACGGATTAATTCTAATTTTGTAGCATTGATACTGCCATTCAATTATGCATGTTTATTCTGCTATGATATTGGAATAATTATGTTTTTATACGTGACACTTTGACGAATATTGGGACATATCATTTGTTTAAGATAGCAAAATAACGTCGTTGAAAGTGTATCTTGTTAATTATCTTGTTAAATATAAATTCAGAGATGTTTTTCTGCATTTTGTTACAATCGCCGGCGTAAAAAAAGAAATGGAAGATACTGTAATCTGCTAACTTTGACTTGAAGTTTTTTTCTCAAGCGTTAATACTCTCTCAGCTCGCTGAAAAATTGCTCGGCACAACACCTTGCTGAACAATGCAGTTGCACCTGAAAATTTGTTGCTGTACATTCTGATAACGAATCGAGGGCACAGAAATTAAAGAAAAAAAATGAAAAGTGCAAGTGCGTTAACACCTGATTCCACGTAGGAGTAATATTGTCAAATTGATACTGATCTCTAAAGAAATCTTTTCTTTTGTTTCCGCAGCCCCCCCACCTGGACCCTCAACTAGTGGCGGTTCTGTTGGGACAGCGGGAGTAGCGGCGAGTAGTGTCGCAGCTCCCAGCAATATGGGGCTTGTTCCCGCCCAACAGGCACACACTCCTCCTCAACCTACAGAACTGCCAAGTAAGCATATACTCTATTCCAGTTTTATCCTCCGATGTGCATTAAAGGGCGAGAGATTAATTTTACGTGCAATCGATGTTCCTTTGCAGTGTTTACGTGCCCTCGAAGACCAAACATAGGACGAGAAGGTAGACCGATCGGTTTGAGAGCTAACCATTTTCAAATTAGTATGCCACGTGGCTATGTACATCACTACGACATTAGCATACAACCTGATAAATGTCCTCGGAAAGTTAATAGGGAAATTGTAGAAACGATGGTTCATGCATATACTAAAATATTTCAATCTCGTAAGCCTGTGTTTGACGGCAGAAATAACTTGTACACAAGGGACCCCTTGCCTATCGGGCATGATAAAGTAGAATTAGAGGTGAGTCACGATATCCTTGAGAAATCTCATACGTCGTATGATTTATAATTACGTTTGTAATCGGTTTTGTCTTTCTTCTTTTAGGTCACACTGCCTGGTGAGGGAAAAGACCGAGTTTTCCGAGTTGTCATAAAGTGGTTGGCGCAGGTTTCGCTGTTTGCTTTAGAAGAGGCTTTAGAAGGGCGAACTAGACAAATTCCATATGACGCTGTTCTCGCTTTAGATGTTGTAATGAGGCATTTACCATCTATGACATACACTCCAGTAGGTAGATCGTTCTTTAGTACGCCGGAAGGGTACTACCATCCGTTAGGCGGAGGCAGAGAAGTGTGGTTTGGATTCCATCAGTCGGTGAGACCGTCGCAATGGAAAATGATGTTGAACATCGACGGTAAGCGAGTCGCGCGAGTTGCCACGCTTTATTATGACCTCGCCATTAATCTTGCCTTCATTGTTATTCCAGTCTCTGCCACTGCCTTTTACAAAGCGCAGCCAGTTATAGAGTTTATGTGCGAAGTGCTGGATATCCGAGATATCAATGAACAGAGGAAGCCGCTCACGGATTCTCAGAGGGTGAAATTTACCAAAGAAATCAAGGGTCTCAAGATTGAAATAACTCACTGCGGAGCTATGAAGCGAAAGTACAGAGTGTGCAATGTTACACGCAAACCAGCTCAAATGCAATCGTAAGCGTGCACTGAAATCTACAATTAAAATGTGAAACACGGGGAAATAAACCGTTGTTACTAATTTCATTACAGATTTCCATTGCAACTGGAAAATGGACAGACAGTTGAGTGTACAGTTGCCAAATACTTCTTAGATAAGTACAAAATGAAGCTGCGCCACCCACATCTTCCTTGCTTGCAAGTCGGCCAAGAACACAAGCACACGTATCTGCCGCTCGAGGTATGTGCGCAAACGTTTGCGGCTTCTTCTCGTGGCGTATTGCATTTCATTGGAGAATAAAGTGACGTAATTATTTGACATTAGGTTTGCAATATTGTCGCCGGACAGCGCTGCATTAAAAAGCTGACAGATATGCAGACCTCAACTATGATCAAGGCAACAGCGCGTTCCGCACCAGATCGCGAACGGGAAATTAACAATCTAGTTAGAAGGGCCGACTTTAACAATGATTCTTATGTACAAGAATTTGGATTGACTATATCGAATAGTATGATGGAAGTCAGGGGTCGTGTACTACCTCCACCCAAACTGCAGTATGGAGGGCGCGTAAGCTCCCTTAGTGGACAGGTGAGAAACTTCCAACTGAATCAGTCAGGTCTAGCCGAATCACACTTTTACGAAGGCTAATCATTTTGATTGTTTTTTGTAGCAGGCATAAAGTTTTGTAGCAAATGTTTGATGAAGTCGTTTATTAGTTCTTTAGATTCTGTACTTGTAATGTACAAGGTAAAGTTGTTGGCTATGAAAGGGGTATAAGATGCATTTATGCTAGCCATTATTGATTTTAATTTATTTCATCTTTGTTTTATGCCTCGTACATAATAAGCATTTACGAAACTTGCATTTTGTAACTTAATTTCTATTGTGATGATAATATTACCAACGTGTGCATTTAATAAATAAGATCACGTTTGGTAAATGTGTATATCTCTACACATGTGGCCAAAAGTTGGCAAATGAATACACGGGTTCTAGACCTGGTTGATTTGATATCTGGGCTGTCAGTGTTAACGAATATTCAAATTGTCATCGTGATAAATTGCAAATGATAAGTGTAACGAGTATTTTTTTTACATTAGTTTAAGTTAACGATTTGCAAATGTAACTGATATTACATTTGCAGTCCGACATCACTTGCAAAAGTTTGATGCTATCAGTATTTGTACCATGTGACTTAATAATTTTTATCTATATATGTCTAGTAGAAAAGGAATATATGTATACATTATATATATTCCTTATATATCTTTCTTTTAAAGATTAAAAATTGTTTATCTCTGTTCAATACTAAACAAATTGTATTGAATAAAATGAACGAGATAAGCACATTTGTGTGTGGAAATACTGCTGCATCTGCTGCGGTAATTTTGTATTATCTAAACATATTGTTATTAAATACTCAATAATGTGTATTATTTTTCTAAAGACGAAGCAGCAAGCGATGCCCAACCAAGGCGTGTGGGATATGCGCGGCAAGCAGTTCTTTACTGGAGTCGAGATCAGAGTGTGGGCGATCGCTTGTTTCGCGCCCCAGAGAACAGTACGCGAAGATGCGTTACGTTCGTTCACAACGCAACTACAGAAAATTAGTAATGATGCCGGCATGCCCATCATTGGGCAGCCATGTTTTTGTAAATATGCTACTGGACCAGATCAGGTCGAGCCCATGTTTCGATACTTGAAGTCGACTTTCTCGCAGTTGCAGCTAGTTTGTGTTGTTTTACCAGGCAAAACTCCTGTATATGGTAACTATATATGTATAAATATACATATAGGTAAAATTATAGATCACAGATCGTCTAAGTCGTCTGTCTTTGACCTATAGTCTCATACTGAGATGACTATTTGTAACTTTTATAAATGGTCTAATTTACCCCTGTTTTCTTTCCAGCTGAAGTGAAAAGAGTAGGAGATACTTTATTGGGCATGGCAACTCAGTGTGTACAAGCGAAAAACGTCAACAAAACGTCGCCGCAAACATTATCCAATCTCTGTCTTAAAATAAATGTCAAGTTAGGAGGCATCAATAGTATTCTAGTACCTAGCATAAGACCAAAAGTGTTTAACGAGCCGGTTATATTTCTTGGGGCTGATGTGACTCATCCACCTGCGGGAGATAACAAGAAACCCAGCATAGCTGCGGTAGTGGGCAGCATGGATGCCCATCCATCTCGATACGCAGCAACTGTTAGGGTTCAGCAGCATAGACAAGAGATCATTCAGGAACTCAGTTCGATGGTTAGGTGAGATATCTGAATTAATCTACGCAATTTGACAAGAGGTTGGCTCAATATTTAAATTGTGCCCTAAATCTATAAACAGATTGTGATATCCGAATAAATGTGACTTTTCAACGATGAATTTTGCTATGAATTTAATAATCATTTTAAATTATTAACGATTAGTTTCTTAACATCGCAAAATTATGTACGTACATTAAAAGAATTATCGTATTGCTGGAAAATACTGTCACATTTATTTTAAAGAGAGTCTTTTATCGTTTGCTCTGTTTACTCTATCTTGCCGTAAACGTTATCTAACGATTTTTCTTTTTCTTCAAGGGAATTGCTTATAATGTTTTACAAGAGCACAGGCGGATACAAGCCGCATAGAATAATTCTGTATCGCGACGGTGTCTCCGAGGGCCAGTTCCTTACCGTTTTGCAACACGAATTGACTGCTATTCGTGAGGCGTGTCTCAAGCTCGAGATCGACTACAGACCCGGCATAACGTTTATCGTCGTGCAGAAGAGACACCACACGCGTCTGTTTTGCGCGGACAAAAAGGAGCAAAGTGGTAAAAGCGGAAATATTCCGGCGGGCACAACTGTTGACGTATGCATAACTCATCCGACCGAGTTCGATTTTTACCTCTGCAGTCATCAGGGTATCCAGGTAAATTCAATAATACAATTCTCTATGAAGAATACCCTCCCGTTGTCGTCATGGTGTTCTAAATACGTCCGTTGTTTCAGGGTACATCGAGACCGTCGCATTATCACGTTCTTTGGGATGACAATCACTTCGAGAGTGACGAGTTGCAGTGTCTCACGTACCAATTGTGTCATACCTACGTCAGATGCACACGATCCGTTAGTATACCAGCGCCGGCGTATTACGCTCACCTCGTAGCGTTCCGGGCTAGATATCACTTGGTCGAGAAAGAACACGATAGGTGAGTCCAGTTATCGTCTTTTTCCCTTGTATCGTGCCGTCGCGATAAAGCGGCGATACAGCGTAACAGTTGATTATTTACGCGGGATCATATCGCGTTTTTAATTTTAATTCCACAGCGGAGAAGGATCTCATCAGTCGGGCTGTAGTGAAGACCGAACACCGGGTGCAATGGCACGGGCGATCACAGTTCACGCCGACACGAAGCGAGTTATGTACTTCGCATAATTCTTTTGTCGTGTCGAGTTGAACCATCATTTGATGTCATTGACGGTGTTGTCTTCACGAAGAAACGATTGTACATAATTGCGACTCCGCGACCAGATGTGAGAATCTTCGTAGGCAGCCGGGATCGCAGCACGTTGCGTCACAAATTCTCGGACTATTTAACAGTTAGGGCAATTCAACTGATCAATTTTCTTGCGTACCTTCTGTCGGCTTCTATTCCTTGTTTTTTTTTCTTCTTCACTTTCCTTTTCTTTTTTTTAAGTCTATATGACAGCTTTTTTTATATACGTGGCACTGGATGTTTTATTTACACTGTATAGAAAAAGCGAATTTTCGATTGACTTTATGAACTTATAGAGTAAGTTTTTACGAGAGGTGCTTATGCAGTTTATAAATCAGATTAAGGATGTTTTGCACGTTTGGGTAGTGAAGTCGTCTGCGGTCGAAGTAGGTTGGAAATTGTACTAAACGAGATAATTTTTTGTAAAAATTATGCTTGGTAAGATCACGGAGGGAATTTCGACTTCTCTCAAATTAACTAACAAACTAAATGGATTTCAGTTGTATTACTGGGGTACAATTGCACGATCTAATATTTACTCGATAAAATTTGTGTAGCATATTACGCTTATTTTTTTAGGGAACGAATTTTCCCTAGCATTTCTATGGAAAGAGAAAAGATGGGACAAAGAAACAAAAAAAATAACCTGGACAAACATGAAGTATATACATCGCTATTTGCGAGACTGTTATCTTGTTGCATGTGTGTATAGCTTTCATTTCGCGAAGAGTGAAACTCCATTCTGTAAATTGTGTAAATTTTAGACTTAATCATGCTGAAGTGATTGGCTTGAAAAGTAAATATCGGTTTATGATGATTGTAATATCTTTAGGAATCATATAACGTCATATCCGTTGAATTACAACGCCACAAAAAAAATCATGTCGAGAAATAACGCTATCTTTTATATAATGCACTTTTAACCGGTCTGAAAATTGAAGACTAGATTATGTTGAAGTAATCCTGAAGTATTCTTAAAACCGATGGACATCAACACCAACTCACGTGGTACACTTTGGCTGAGCGCAGCATAGTAGATAAGAACGGACATAATCTTCATACATAAAGACAGCTGTATGTAGTGGAAGTAGTCGGGGAGTGTTACGTAGAGCACGCGCGTTATTTATAATATATGACTTCCAATATGATTTAGCAATGGCTAGTGTCCATTTGAGAGAAATAATCGTCAATCTCTTTCGATAGTCATGTTTTGATTAATAATCAATATGACTATGACGTATCATAGAAGAGTCACTTTCTTATTCTTATATCATTACTGTCTTCAATTCTATGAGAGTTACTCCCAGATAGACACTAAGCTTTAGGATCCAAATTTAGCATAAGTAATTGAATTAACTATCGTTATTTTATTTTACTGTTGCTAATCGTTAGGATGTACATTTTTATTCGTCTCACTTTAATTTTTCATTAGACCGTTATCGTCTGCACATTGCACAGCTCATAATCTATGCTTACGTCAGCTATATATTAATGACACTGCAGAGAACTAGGGCACAACCTTGCCGATACAACTTTATCTGTGTTAAACGCCCCTTAAACCTGGTGGTTACAAGTCTATTAAAAAAGGAAAAAAAAAGAAAAACGAATGATCTGTGTTATAAATGTGTCACACGAAAATGCCGAGAATGAAAGTAAAAACGGATATCCGTGTCTGGTGTCCGAGATGAGCCGGGATATTATCTAATCAGATAAAAGATGGCTATGATTAAGTCGAATTCACATGGCGTTAGATACGAGCTGAAGACGAAATCTCGTCGGAGCATGCAAAGAACTACTGAAAATAAATCGAACGTCGCGTCGATATAGTGCGATACAGTCGATATAGAAATTATCCAAACGTCAACTGTAACAGTAATTGTAACAGTAATTATGCTTTAGCAGTGAAGTAAGATTAGTTGTAGGAGTATTATAAGAGTAAGATTTTTTTTTATTAGTTTTGAAAGAGTAATTGTTGCTTGATAATGCCAAACCCTAGAAGTTTTTGTATTTTTACTCTAATAATCGCGACTCTTGTGCAAATCTATGTCATCTGTTGACACAATAATTCTAGTAATATTAAGCAAGCCTTGAAAACGACATATATAATCCAATCTCTATAGATAGGATCGTATATTAATAGAACAAAGATTCTGTTAATATACGAATAGGAATTATATATACTAACCTAGACATAATTATGTATCAATTGTCGCGTTAAATTATTATTATGTATTATTATTATTAGAATCATTAATATATCAAGATCTCTTTTTTTATTATTATATGAGCGCTCGCTCGTAGGAATTGAATTCCTACGTTACAATCAGTCACGATCCATATTTGTACATCAGTATTAATAATAACAATGCTTATACTCGGAGATAGAGAATATTCTTGGAAAATTGTCTTTTTCGATCCACCGATGGGGTAAAAGAGTGGGAGTGTTATTTTTGACTGTATTAATGATTCTAATGTTAGATTTATATTAAAGAATACAATGTTAACATGATATCGGAAAGTATGGAAAGAGGACCCCTTAATCTATTAGTAATATTTATTTTAGTTGTTAAAGTAAAGGACGGAAATTACGGATGATCTCTTTTCCGGCGCACTGAAACGCGAGCATCCGCGCCGTACAGGAGATCTGTAATGGGCTTTTATTGTCTACAAAACCTGTTCGGGGGCGATTTAATAGGGGTAGTTGGGAGAGTGTAATCAGGACAACTGATTAACCGATTGGAACAATCTATATCTATTAAATTAGATGTAAGGAGAACAGTAAAACAAAGAAATGGGAAAGATTATTATTCGCGTTGTTGAGGATGCACCTTATGCGAATGGCACATCAACATAACGGTTCGTCATCTTACGTAACTGTAGCTGACAATGAGTGATATGAAGGAATAGGCAGATTATAGGGCCATTTACGGATGATTACTGATAAATTAGATTTTAAGGCGAATCACGAGTGAATAAGTTAGCCGCGATAATATTATCGATAATATTATTCCAGTGAATACCAAAACGAGACTGGGTCTGTCGCAAGATTTAATTGACTCTCGAAGTTTCAAGTCGAGTGCGTTAATAGCGTAGGACGAGCGTGCATTCGGCGATTGAAGTAACCTTCCCTTCAGAGCTTGCATTCTGCTAATATTTGACTCGTATTTATATCCGTAATCAATTGTTGTATCGCGTCGTCGGCGAAGAACGAAAAGAAACTAACGCGTTGCCAAGCGAGCATATACTAAACGTTATTAACGCACTTTTCTCTCTATAACATTCTTCATGTATGTATGTATCTCTGTGTTTTTATCTCCTCGCGTCCTTAAGCGAATGAGAACTCCCGCTCGATATTTTCCTGAACAAAACAGAAAAATAGGACTAGAAAAAGACTAGTCCCTCTTATTTGTAAATACATTACGGTAATTTATTCTGTAGATGATCTCCTTTTCGGCAATGTAAATGACACATTTTATAGTAAGATGCGAGATTAACGAGACAAGAATGTATTCTATTGCGCAAGATATTGCAAAATTTCTTTTTCTCTTAATAGCAGATCGCTTGACTATTATAAGGTTGAGCTTCTTTTAACGGATGTTGAATTAGGAGGCCATTAAGTCGCAATTTTATAACTCGGTGTTTTTAAATTGTGCTATTCTGCCAAACATATAAGAGAGAGAGATTTTGTCATTTATTCAGCTTGATCTACAGGTTTTTAACTTTCAATGTTCAGCAGACTATAAGCCTTAGCGAAAGCCTTTCGAGCCTGATCGAGAAAAACTTGAGATTCGTTAGAGAATTCGCAATTTCTGGTGATTAACATTCAAACTCTTCGAGCGCATAAAACTGGAATATATGAAAAAAAGAGTCCGAAGTGAAGAAATAAAGAGTAACTCCTAGAAGAGACGCTTAATAGCATGAGATGTAAAGTTTAGTGTAAGATAAATGAGATACTCGCGATTGGATGGGCCTCCTATAGATACATGGTCCGCCTTGCTGTTTAGCGTTTAGCGTGAGACACGATCGTGTCTCGCGGTAATTTATATTTGTATATCTAATTATATATAAACGAGTACTCACACACACACATACACACAGCATACACATAAATTATAGTATAATTATGATACCTTGTAAAAATCTACATGTCGTCTTAGCGCACATAAAAATACTAAGCTCTATATTGTCTTGAAAAGTCGAGTGCGTGTCTGCTTTCGTGATCTCAGTCTCCCAAACTCGTGGTGTAAAATGCAAATGAGACAAGTGCGCATAAATAGCTGCTAGCAGCTAAACGAATTCACGATTGTACGATATTAATGTACAAAATTGTTACGTCTAGGGATATAAATTTTCTCTTATCTATATGAGAAATTGACGCAATGTATCGAGATGAATAGACTGAGCACGCGAAGAGTGTCCTCTTTTACAAGATTTCCGTTCTGTTTGGGGGACGCGCACGTCGAAAGTGGAAGGTACCGAGACTCTTCAAGCTTTCCCACTAAATTTTACGCCTCCTCGAGGTGTGTCGAAGGACGGGAATCTTTAGCTTTTTAAGAATAATTGCACCGTATATTGTAAGATCGTTACTACTTAAGGCATGTGCGAAAGTGCAGGTTTCAAAGTGTCAGCTTTAAGAGTGCTAGCGGATCAATAGTGGCGTTTCACGATAGCGTACGTGACGACAGGGAGCGATATTAGCGTTAGGTGTATAGGCCCTTAGGAGCTCTAGTTTTGTCTTCTAATTTCCAAGTGTGTGTATATGCTGTTACTGACCGGGTACGCATACCGCACCGAGTATGTTACACGGACGGGTGTCACATTGAGAGGGGGAGGAGGACTTTTGCGAGAGAAGGCATAGCAATGCAGAATAGAAAAACGACGACGTAGTAATTTAGCATTGTAACGCTTTATAGACCATAGTCGATGGGGGGGAAACGATTTTGGTCGAATTTCGAGCGTCTCAATCCGGCGGCCGCGCGCTTTTCTTCTGTCCTGTTGTTGTTGTTTTTTTTCGGTTTAACAATTAACGTTTACAATCAGGAGGAAAGAGGGATGACTCGCCCTCCACGTTTATACTTGATTCCGTCGATCGATTTTCCGCGAGTAGTCTGTAGCGTCTACTTCTTTTTTTGTTTTTCAAGTGAGCAAAAATTGGGGATAAACGATAGATCTCGTCGCTCTGTCGGGAATATAATGGGTAACATTTTAACGGGATCGCATGCACCTTATTCGACGAATGTTTCCATTGTGATCAACTTGTCTGTTAATCCACGATTGCGCCCCACTTGCCGCGCGAAATTCCGATTTGAATGATGTAACAACAGCGAAAACTGGATCTCTGTTGAGAAATGCGAGTTTCTTTTTTTTTCTTTATTATCAAATAAAATACATGTAAGAGAGTTATATATTAAAACTGCCGAGTACCAGTCTTCATTAAAGAGATTAGGCGCCTCTCTTTTACATTGATAACGGAGCGTCTTTTTTAAATCGCGTTACATTGCGGTGGCTCGCGTGTTTCCACCGACACTTTTAAAATTATCTTAAAATCCCAGATATATTGTCGATAATAAAATGAAATTTCTAGTCTTTTCACGCGAAATTTCTGCGAACGTTCAACCTCACGAATAGACGCAGTATCGTACGACAGGATAAAGTAAACGCCAGGAATAAATACTTGCTCCTCTGATAGATACGGCGCGTAGTATCGTGGATTAACGTCGAACAACATCGCCAACATTTGACAAGTCGGACGATCAATATATCTCGTTGCTCTTCTTCGAGCCGAGAGCGAACGGGAGCGGGAAAGAAATGTGACCCATTCTATCTCGATGTACGAGAAGGGCGAAGAATGTAAAGTCACGGAATCGTTCCTATAAACATTAGCGAGAGACAACCGAGATTTTCACAAGGCGAAAGAGAAGCACGGAAGATCGGTCTCGGCGTAGCCGACGGCCTGGATGCATTTTCTTTTCAAGAGCTTGGAGAATCAAATATAATTGTACAATTGTAAAACACTAGGAAAATTATAATTAATTATAACGAAATTAAAAGTATTATGATAATTAATTATAATTCGGCAAAAGATCCGTTGCGTTAAGGGAATCTTACAGAAGGGAATTCCATTTCGATTGATTTCCACTCTCGTGACTCTCGAGCCCTTCGAAAAACCGGACTTGGTCGTTGCACCGAACATTTAAAAGTACGCTAATGTTTATGGCTACGGCCTGCTCGTTCGGAGAGCACACAATATCAATTGCACTGAGAAGCCGGCGATATCCCACCGTAATAAAGAGAGAACATACATATAGACTTTCTGTATCTACAAGTGCCTGGCGCTTCGTCCGCGCGTATTTGACGTCTGCAAATAATAATGTTGATCGCAAGTAACGACTTTCGAAATTCTAAAAGAGAGAACTAGAGCGAAAGCGAGAGCGAACGAAAGAAAGAGAGAGCGAGCGAGCGAGAGAGAGAGAGAGAGAGAGCAAGAAGAGAAAAATAGGTGATTGTAGATAAGTATCGAGAAGCGCTGTCGATAATAATTAATTATTATAATTAAATCTAGACTGGCGTAAGTCTAGGTGGATAGGTACTTGTTAAGGAGCGAGGGGATGCTACGGAAATAGCGAAAGTCGGCGAGTTTTTCCCAACTGACCGCGCCCTGAAAGTATAAACTTAAATTATATCTGTTGGAATATTTATCATGCCTCATCAAAATGGATATAATACTAGGTGTAAGATATATATACATATATAAACATACATATATACATACATATATATTTGTGTATATATATGTATACAAATAAATATATATATATATTGTGTACGAAATATATGACGTATATTTATGAATGTCGGACGAGTAAGTTTTGAGTAATTATCAACCTCATAATGTGTGTCGTACATGATCATTCAAGTTCATTAGTTTCACGGTCTCGGGCACGCGCCGCGCACAACATATGTACAGCAACGGCATCGTTAAGCATTGTAATGTTAGTCCACGTAAAAGTATTTATGGCGACGCAAGATCCGGGAGAGCGGGACGGGAAATCTCAGAGCAGACAGCGCGTTGCGAGCAATTATGAGCCCTTCTACATTCGTATTTAAATGAATTATGGAATATTTGTTATTGAGCAATGCGAACGAAAGGGATAGACAATAGTCGGAGGTCACTGTTTGCTTGAAAGATTGTCGATCGTCTCGGACAATAATTTCGTTCTGAATCGCGCGCTGCGAACTTTCCCCTCGAACTCGAGATTCTTCGGAGAGGTTGCACTCGTAAAAAAAAAAAAGAAAAAGTCCTAGAAATTCCATAATCGACTTCTCACGTGTATAATTAAAATTTAGCATTAATATATAATAAATATAAATATAAAAAGGAAAAAAAAGTTTTATATAAAATCGTATTTTTAAAGAGACTAATTATTTTATCCTAAAATATCGCCGAGTTGTACAGATTTAGGGGCGCGGAATTAAAATAAACTCGCTAATTCGTTTACATTGCTCGATATCTGACGCTACAAAGTCAGCCGGCAGAACGAAGAACACCACCGTAACCACAAGTCCTGTAAACTGCGCATCTTTATAGATTAATAATGTAAGAAATCGGTTTTATGAATCTTCGATCGTTGGCTGAGTAATGCAGATGTTGCGAAATGTTCATTCTCTCGCTTTTACAAGGACTGAGATCGGTACAATCGTGATGGTTGCACCTCTTGAAATTGCGCGATATCAATTTCTGCTCTAACGTTTGCCGTAACATTTTCATATGGATGAAACCACGATTTTATTTTCAGATATACTTCAAGCTTTGTCTTCAAATGCTTTTGTATTACTTTCGTCGTATATCGTGTTTTTCAATTGAAATTACCCAGATAGCACACATAGGTCTATGAATATTCTTCTGGAGTGCAAATATTCGTAATTTCAGAATATTCGAATCGAATATTCTATAAATATATATATTGATTATTACAATTCGAAATCGTATATTCATATTTCTGGGTAGTCTCGTAGGTTTCCGCGAGAGGAAATCGTGGTATTGTCTGCCGGTGCAATAATTGTTAATGTAATTATGTCCATGGTTTTAACGGCGTATTATCTTTAAAAAAGATTTATACAATTTAGAGCTTGTTTATGCGATACTCCTTGAGGCAAACGCGGCTTATCTTACATCTCTTAGGCCCGTTTTCACCGACGTTCTTTAACTTTAAGCTTAGCTTAATTCATTCTTTGTCTCTTTCTAACGGTTACCTTAGAAAGAGACAAACGTGAATTAAACTAAGATCAAAGTTAAACGACGTTTGGTGAAACCGGGCCTGAGACGATTAGATTTTCACGTCGTTGAAAATAATTGTTGAATTTTGGCTCATTAATTAGATTATATTTTATAAATGGCGTTTCAGCTTTTGTCTGAATTTTTACGAGATATTTCGACTGTCATGTTTGTGCCTTCTGCGTTTATCACGCTCGCTAATTGCATCTGCATTACGAGTCGGTCGGCGATCAGTTTCATCTGAAAATGCAATAGGGGATCATAATCGATCACACACCCGTGATCTCTAAACGCACTTCTGAGGACGGGCGGGTGCTAGCGAAGACACAATACACATGCGTGATATATTAACAAGGCATGACATTACTCACTCAATAATAATAATAATAATAATAACTTACGCGACGCTATATTCTGTGAGATTAAGGTCGGGGGGGGGGGGGTACAAGCAAAAGTCCGCTCGTGTAAAAGAAAAACTGAGTGGACCGTTTTGCGTGAACATAGCATCCACGTATTCGAACCACGTAAATAGATCGTAACAACATAATCGAAGTTCAAAGCAAAGTAAAGGGCCGAATTTTAAGACTTCGTGTAGAATTTTAAGAGAAGTTACGTTATATATAAGACAATATTTTGTGTAACACGGACGTTGACGGGCTTTCCGAATCTTTTTCTCTGTAAAGTGGCTCTTGAACCATCAATATTTCTTGTCGATATATTCGGTCTATTGAACTTTGCGTCTGTCACACGACTCGATTTATTTTTCAACTTGCCTCACTTTTTTTTATGATAAAGTATATGTACTCACGATGTAAGAAATGAAATTTTTTAATGTAAATTTCACTGTATTTAATACGTCAAACATTTGATATAGAGTGCTATTTTCTTACTTTAATATATAAGAAGTTCATAAAATTGGATGTAGACGTAATAAAATTAGAAAAAATTTTTTACTAAAACATTCGGGATTCCAAACACTTTCAATTTATGTAATTGCAGTGTTTTATGAGAAGACCGCATATACAGATGTCTAAAAAATACTTTAACATTATCTAAAAGACGTTTCGATGCACAAGACATCTTTGGTCGATCTATCCTGGATTTCTTTTCCGCGCGGGAAATGCTAACTGATGCTCGCGAGAGGCAGGGGTTTTATTTGGTTCCCCGAAGGACTTTGCTAGACGTCGGTATCGATAATAAAATATTGATCGTTTTACGGAGCGCTGATAAAAGTGACGCTTCTTGTTCCGCACGTGCGACGGACGAGCGTGAAATCCGGAAGCGGCGACGATCGAAATGCCTTCGTCGGGCGGAGGCGCGTCTCGATTTCATGCTCTGTCGATCTGCATTGTCAGTTTTACATTTACTGTGACGAGAGAGGAGAGGAGAGCGAGCGTGTTGATTGCGCGAAGGAATCCACGCGACAGTTTCCGACAACTTGGGCACCAGGCTCGGTCAGCGAGTTAACTCCGCTTACTGAATTCCGCTAACTGAACTCACTCGACCGAACCCTCTTCTGCCGTTGTGCGTTATAACTGCGCGGCTGTATAGTCTAAGAGAAATTTTTTATTATTAAAAAAAAGGTCGGCGAATTGTTAATCGGAGTTAATTGACACGGACCGTCGACCCTTTCGAGTTTACTGTTCCGCGCGTACCGTGGATAATTCGCGAATGTGGAGAACGAGAGAAGGAGAGACGCCCGATGCCGGGAAAGAAATAACGCGGCGATGAACCATGCGAATGAAACGGAGCGAAAGTTTCTATAAGTTATTTTGAAAATGTAGGAGAGAGCTGTAACACGGCGTCCACACTCGCATCAGCGTTGACTCGGTCGAGTGAATTGAGAGAAACGAAAGGGTGTGCCATATATGCATATACATACAGATATAAATTAAATACGATTCTTGAATGTAATCAAAAGTATCATTGACAAGGGGGGGGGGGGAGAGGGAATTTGATTCACTGGTACACGCTGAAGAGGATATGCAAAAAATATCGTAATCTTGTACGATAATGTTTGTGCGGCAAGATTGATTCAAAAAGAGAAAAGAAACCACGCATTAGATTAGTGTATAATAACGTCGCGACGTTAGTTGTAGCGATTACGAGTTTCATCGCGGTTTTCAAGAGCGTTACGCATATTGTACATAAATTATTTACGTACACACACAAAACACACACAATATACACACACACACTTATGCCCCGCGTTGAATAATACCTCGACTGACTTTGTCCCTTGAACATTATGTGTGTATTTAATATAATGCTGACAATTCCATGTCCGTCATAAATTGTCGAATAAATCGGACGTATAAATCTCCGTGCTCTGCATGTCGTTCTAATAAAGCGATTGTGATGAGGAAGCGATGGCAGGGCGCGTGTGGAAATTCATTATGCAGAATACGGAGACTCTCAACTAATAACGTGTATCGCCGTGTACGGGTTTAATCTTACTTTTAGTCTTTTTCGGGTCTTAATTATGTATAGATTTTCTAGACTATAAAAAAGAAACTTAGTCACGTAAGATTTATTATGGGTGGTATAGATTTAATGAGATCTTAAATAAACTTCGAAAAAATACCTGTCATTGACCTCGTCTCCGTTGTCGGCTTCTCTTCTTACCCGTCTTACCCGCCGAAAAATATGAAGATCGTCCCCGTGGTGAAAATTTTTCTCAAAATATTTAAAATTTTTTTTCAACAATTTTATAATTTTTCACAAAAATTTTCGGATTTTTTATACAAATTAAAACGCAGAAGTAAAGTTTGTCTTTTTAGAAATTGACATCACAAATCCACTGACTACCGAGACATGTGAGTCCACGAGCATTTGCCTTTTTATCCTTTGACCATTACATTTAATTTAATATCGCCAATCAATTTACTTATTTAACTTATTATTTTATCCTTTTAACTGTTGTTTTACTTCTACTTTTTATTTATTAATTTATTATACATATATTATACCCTGGTTAAATGTTTAACCAGGGTTGGGAAGTAACTCGTTACTTGTAACGAAGTTACAGTTCTTATCCATTTTCCTACCTATCCGCGTTTCAACTTTTTGTTAGTAAACGTGCAAGTCTTTCGTTAAAACCGCAACGCGATTTATAAGATGTCCGATTTTATACGCGTACGATTTAACAGGGATTTAATAGAAGTCTTTTTAATCTCGCACATATGCGAGAATATGTAAAGAAGATAAATAAGAATATAACCCACCCGAATTTTGGCACATAAGAAGAAATCAACTTATTTCGTACAACACCGTACTCGCATACTCCATCAAAGTGGCCAATATTGACCACATATCTCGTCGCATTCCATCGTCGGGCCAGATTGGACATACCTTTCGTTGCTCCCGGCCATACAGTCTGGTCATTTTGACCAGAGATCAGGAAGGAAGAAAACTCCTTCCATAGTCGGTTTATTATCGTCACCGACAAATATTTCGTACGGTTCGAACTATATGCGAGCGTCGATCGTATCGAAATGCATGAACACGAGAAGTTAATTAAAGAAAAAAAAATGATTTAAAAAATTTACTGAATAAAACTCATCAAATATATTGTTACTTCTGTTATTTATTCGAGAATCGATAATATCTGTCTTTTCGTGACTCAATCTCCAAATTCAAAATTCAAGTATATATGTATATCGAAAAAAAAAATTTACCTCGCGTTATATTTATTAGTTTAATTACATTCCGCGACTAATTAAAATTTATAATATGAATAAAATTAAACAATTTCTTGAAAATTTTTTTAAAAACAGATCGCGAAGACCGACCGCGAAAATGCAAAGATGCGTGTAACTATGCATGTATTCATGCGAGACGCATCTTGAAAGTATATCGCGAGATGACAGACACATACAGAATAAATGACGTGAGACCCAGAGAAAAGAAACTTTCCATACGATAGATAGACCGACAATTGAATATTCTAGTATCTAGTTAATCAAAAATCTCAAATAATGTATAAAAGTGATATAAAGTTTCAGCGTTCTCGACAAAATATTAGAATCTCACGTCATAGAATTTTACTTTATATACATGTATAAATGTGCTACTGAAAAATGGATAGAATAGGGTTACAAGAGATTAGCTTGACGAATACGTTAATAATATCCGTCATATTTCGCGCGAAAATGTGTGACGTGCTGCAACGGAGCACCCAATCCTCCACAATAAAAGTCGCGATCACTCCCCTTCGATAAATGAAATATATTAAAGTAAACGTGAAATATTATGCTGTAATCTATCCATTTTTAGGTAATGAATCTCCAGAATATATTTAATCTATGATCTACATTCTACGATCTACGAGATTCATTACCTCAATAAAAATACTCACTCACCGATCTGACGCGCAGCAGCGGAGTTGACTACGTCGATTCTGTAACACAAATATAGAATTCGTTAAAGCAGTGTTCAATGTGAAAACTAATATTGCAAAATACAGTTACCGCATAAGTAATTCTTACGCGTATCAAACTTTATTCGATTAAATGTTTAAATGATTAACGCGCGAAAGATGTTTCGCAAAAGATCTTCACGGGAATAAACTCTTATTGAATTTTTAATGGTTTCTTGGTCTCTAATTATTTCGAAATTGTGGAATTATGAAAGAAAACGACTCAAAAATAAACTGGAAAAAGATTACTTTTACACAGAATGAAAAATAACATTTACCGTAAAGTTGCTCCGCCGGCGCCTGATGCCTTTTCCAGGCCACCTCCTCCACTCAGATTGATCCTCTGGCACACTCGCGAGAACACAAAGATCGTTCGCGCGATTTTACACTTTGAAAGTCTTTAGTCCAATTACACAAACGGCACCCCCGAACGCGACGGAAATGGCAACTTTATATTATACGCGCACTTGTGTACGTGTAAATTGTTTGAGAGATTATTTCTTGACAAGCGATCGATATATTACAATTGTTCGTTATTATTTTACCCGACGATTCACGTATCACCTTGCGCTTTTGATCGCATTTTCTCTTCAAATCACGCGCGATATTCATCTCGACGAATCACCGTCGAGATCAACGATATGACTACGGATCACAATTACTTGAACGCGATTGACGAATGTGAATATCTCTCGTACGAGACGATCGCGATTCTCGTAGGAAATGATCGCGTTACGACGAGCAAGGCGAAGACACGCGAAACAACCGCCTCGCTCGACTGAACCGCACCAACTGATAGATTGTTTTCGACCGAGGGCCCCGAGGGGCGAGGTGTTCACCGTGAACTTCACGGTGCTACGTCATTTCGTGGAACCGGCCGGCGCTCGGCTGTCGAAAAAGTTGTTTACGACGCTCGGCGAACCAAGGCCACGCCCGCGCCCGTACGCAGGGATCGTTCACGTGATTCACGCGGCGACAATTGAACGAGTCCGTTATCGCGATCGCTCTTTGCGAATAATTGGTGATCGATATCATCGCGCGATCGCTGAATCCCCGCGATTTGCCATCTATGCTCTGTTAGCCAACGAGACAGATATCCAGCGCGATTCATACATGAGATCTATACATCCAAGAATCAAAGCGCTAGCGGACTTGTAATTATTTCTTTATTGCGATAATTACGGACGATAATTGCTTCTTTAAACGATGCTTGTGTCCGGATACATTTCGTATCATCGCGATGAGTCTCGCGTTGCTTCGAATATAATTTCTTGGCTGTTTGTAGGTTGAAAACGAGAAATAATACACGAAATATTGAATCGAGCGCTTTAACTAGCATTTATCGGTGATTTATTAATGCTACTAGTTTATATACTTTTTACGGAATGTATGAATACAAATACATACGCGACAGTGAATTTTTAATTATTTTCGGACGATTGTGTCTCGATTAACCGTTAACTCAGTTGCGTTTACTGTACGGTGTCAATGTATAATTTTAAAGTTTTTCGTTTATTAACGAAAATGTATATAATAACATAGAAAAAGATGCAGAGTCGACTAACTTCTGGTTAACAATCAACCAGAAAATGAAAAAGCGGGCCTAAAGACAGAGGTAAATTAAAAGTTCAAAGAGTTACCGATAAAATGTAACTAAATTCAGTTAAAAGACAACGGTCTATAATGCGACCAAGTTAAGTCATTTAACTTTTTAACTTGACATTTATCAAATTAAAAATTAAGTAGGCCAATTAGTTTCACGAGCAGTCTATTCAGTATTGTTATTTATTAACTTTATTTTATCTGTTTATTTTTATTAATATATTATTAATAAAATAAATAAATAATTAAATAAATTTGTATGGCTCGTATGTGTTAAACACAAATTTCAAAGAATTTAAAGGACTCAGAGCCGTAAACAGGGTGGTAGTGTCTAAATATTCTATTCTATAAATAAATAATATATTATTTTAAAAAATTTATCTTTTTATAATTAGACACTACCCAATCCTGCTAAGTAGACAAATTGGCTGAATAAGAGAAGGCGTCCGTCTTACAATATTGGACCAATATTGGGAATACCAGATTCGCATTATTCCCCAATATCGCGCCAATGTATTGTGCTACTAGGGCAACTTCTGCAAATAAGGACTACGATTTAAAATCGTAAACGTATACCGTGCAATCGCAGAGAATTAATCGATTTAACAGTTGCAATTGTTCGGTCAACGGAGACGTGCGATCTTTTGTTTTCCTCCTTGGCGGGTATTTACCGTCCGGCGCATGCGCGGAGGATCCTTCCGTCTGCTCACTTGGAGTGGAAATGGACGTTTACTTGCACGGTGGTACCGCGCGCGGCGTTTTCGTGCCCACGTGTGGGCGTGATATTGAAAGACAGGTCAGTATATGCGTTACCGCGAGGCGCCTCGTAACTGGAAAAACTAATAGGTTCTACTGCCCGATGATTTATCTACTGACCGCTCCGTCGATTCCCCGGCGCACCTTTCGCGCCAACGCGACGTAATGTTTCACGACCTAACCTGTTCCCGCCGGGTCACTTTTGCCGGGGTAGAAAAGAACGAATGGATCAATTGACGTGACGTTTAATTTCATTGGGAAAAATTGGTAAAACTATTTAGCTTCGATTTAGCAACTGGTCGTTTTTTAAATAAATGTAGTCGCAGGAATTTATGCGCTGTATAAGCAAGTAGGGCTGGTAGCATCTTGACCGGTAGAAGACGAGAGCTTCGCTGATTTATCTCCGATAAATCGTGCGGGACCGTTCTAGCTTGACGTTTATAAAATGTACGAGGTCGGGTCTGAATTGTGCTCGGGTCAGCATTTGTTATCGATATCAGGTAGTATGGAGCCGGTGTCGGCCTTCTCGGTGCACGCGGGGCAGCGTGGGAACGCAGAACAATTGCCGAGCAGAAAGAAGAAGAAAGACAATTCACAGAAAGCTTACAGTAGAAGGAGAAAGCAGAAAGATGTCAAACAAAGCGCGAACCAGCAGAGGCGACGCAAAGGTACCCTGAACACTTTTGCCGAGAAGAAAGGCGCTGAGAGGATTATGTAACTTGAATGTGACCTGTTGTCTGTTGCAGAGAGGACGAAAGCTGCAAGAAAGTCGAACGATACCAGCAACGCGGTGAAATTAGACAAGCCAAATAGCACCTCAAGTGCTGTGCTTAGAAAATTGAAGTTGAAATTAAAAGCCAAGAAGGAACGGAAGATGAAGGAATGGAAGAAGAAGAAGAAGTCCGGCAAGGGAGAAGCTATTCAGATGACTGAGGTGCAATCAGTAAATGTCAAGACAAAGAACAGTGAGAGCGATTCAAATAACATGGATACAAATGATTCCGTTAATGCAAATGAGTTGAACGTAGACTACGTCAGTGCTCACGATCCCGTGGAAAACAGTCGACAATTATTGGGTTGGCTGTTACATCCTATAGATATAAAAATCTTCTTCAAGTAAGTTGAAATCGACAACTGTATCTTGTTGTGCATTAATAGCGATCCTTTTGTTTTCACTTAGAGATAATTGGGAGAAGACTCCTGTGTACGTGAAGAGGGATCAGCCCAATTATTACAGACACATTGTATCGACGCCTTTGTTGGACGAAGTGTTGAGAAAGAATCATATCCTGTTCACCAAACACATTGACATAACGTCCTATTCTGGCGGCGTGAGAGAGACGCATAATCCTCCCGGTCGTGCCTTGCCAAGCGTCGTTTGGGACTATTATCAGAATCAGTGCTCCGTGAGGATGCTGAATCCTCAAACGTTTATCCCCGCGATACACGCGTTGAACTGTAAGAAATGGAACGCGGTTAGATCTCAGCAACCGTTCTTATTTCTCTGTTGATTTGCGACTCATTTTGCAGCTACCCTCCAGGAATCCTTCGGCTGCTTCGTTGGCGCCAATTTGTACCTCACGCCGCCCAACAGCCAAGGCTTCGCGCCCCATTACGACGACGTCGAAGCATTTATATTGCAGATCGAGGGTCAGAAGAGGTGGAGGCTGTACAAGCCACTTAGCGCGAACGAATATTTGCCGAGGTACTCTTCTAAAAATTTTGATCAGTCGGAGATCGGGGAGCCTATACTGGACACAGTTGTCAAAGCTGGGGATTTGTTGTACCTACCGCGGGGGACCATCCACCAAGGAACGACTCTCGACGACACGCACAGCCTGCACGTCACATTGAGCGTGTATCAGAGGAACAGCTGGTTCGACCTGCTTGAGAAAGTGCTTCCGCAGGCTCTGAAGCGAGCCGCCGACAACGACCGACGTTTTCGTCAGGGGCTGCCTCTGGATTACTTGACGTACGTCGGCGCCGCGTACGACGCCAGTGACCGCAAGGATGCTTTTAAGAGTGACATTAACAACTTGATCGCTCTGCTACTGGAACACGTTGATGTCGACAATGCAGCCGATCTGATGGCAAAGAATCACATCCACGATTTTCTACCGCCCTTTGTCTTTAAGAACGAACGCAAGTGCACGGTGGCGGAAGACGGCGAGATTATGACCACGAACGGGCTCGTCAAGAATCGCGCGGAAATAATGCCTGAGACAAGGATGCGATTGTTAAGGCTGCATTGTATAAGGTGAGTTGTGGTGAGTTAATTTCCGATTTATTCTGAAAAGCGAATTCAGGGTGGGACGATAAGAACTGTATTACCGTATCGCCAGGTTAATACAAGAAGATACGTATAGGGTATATTATTCTACCGAAAATTCCAAAGAATACCACGAATATGAGCCGCAATTTGTAGACGTCGACGAAGAATTTGTGCCTGCAATTAAGCAACTGATAGCATCCTATCCTGATTTTATATCTGTAAAGGAACTGCCAATAAAAGATGACGACCGAAAGGTAAAAATACTTGCGATATCTCGTTAAACGTTGCGTGTACGTTGTTATCTTGCGATTAATGCAACTCTGAATATATTGTTATAGATTCAAATAGTGAAAGATCTCTGGGAAAAGGGGTTGATCTTAACGGAGAATCCTCTGTGTTGATTTACAAGTTATTTTTTGTAAGAGAGGTAAGAAACCAAAAAAGCCGGGACTACATATAAAGCTGTTCGTACAAATATTTGAAACACATGTTGCATGTAGTTTATTTGCTCCGAAAATAAATCTAATTCTTCATGGAACGGATACCAATATTTATACAATAGTATTACAGTAATACCAATATTTTATAGTATTACAGTTTCCTATATAAAAAAAGACGTGTTAAGTCGAAAGTCTCAAAGTATTGTCATTGATGCTAATTGGCTGTCTCGCTTGTGCAAAACGACATGCTTCAGTCGTGTTATTTGCAACTGTCAAACCATGCGAATTTTTAGAGAGAGCAAATGGCGGGCGCTGAGCGCGCGCTTGTGTTGTCTTACAAAGTATTACAAAAAAATAGTGTAAACAGTTCCGTGACATGATTCCGAATATCAGTGGTATAATATCGACAATTGATTCCTCTCATATTTTATGATTCGTGTTAGAGCTTGCAATATATTTTACATTTTATAACTTCTTTGTGTATGTGTGTGTGTGTGTGTGTGTGTGTACGTTTGGGTGGTTCTTAATTATATGTCGTATCTGCAGAGATAGATCAATTTTAATTTTACGACACAAAAATTATACGATATACATTCTTTATTTATATAATTACTTATTTCATTGCAATCTTATATTGTACCGTTTTTATTTTCTGTTTCAATATTTTTTGTTAACGCCGTTTGAATAGTTTCTGTTAGGATTCAGTTTCTCCCCTCGTTCCTTCGTTGCCTTTAAATTCAATTTTACAAAACATTGACATATAATTAAAAACCTCTGTGATTCAAGTCCGTGTTTATACTTAAAGTCTTCATGTGCCGATTCTGAGCTTGTTGCGTTTTTCTTGTTCGACATGATCCCTTTTTCTTCCCAAAACGTACTCGACATATTCTAAATATCCGTCCTTGTTTAAGTCGTCCTCTTCCAGCACTTTATCTATTAGCCCTGAGGCAAAATACAAGTTAAACAATTTTATCGCACACTTAAAAAAATTCGGCGTAGTGTATAAGTGTATACGTGTATCTTTTCGAAATGCCAAATCCCATTTATCGTTAGACGTACCTACAATCCAGTCTATGTCCGATTGTATCGCGTCTTCCTCGTCATTCTCGTGCAAAGTGTGTTGAAGAGCGTGAAGAATCTCTAATCCGTCTAACTTTGTATTATTGTCGATATCGTGAATACTGTAATTACGAAATTATATTAGCGACGCGTGAACCATTTGATAAACATGGGTAAACGATGCGGTCTCAAACGTACTGAAAATAGTGGAACTCTATTTCTTGTTCAGTCATTTTCGAGAAGTCGAGTTGATCGGCCATGGAACCCATATCTTCCTTCAGATGTCTAAAATCGTGAAACAAAATTACTTGTTGTAGTTACACGAATATTAAATTGAAAGTATCTGTTGTCAACGGTATTCAAATATCGCTGCAATCAGCAATTATATATACGAATTAACAAGATGTTTTGTCTTGAAAATTGTAGTGATTCTGCTCAATTGTCTCTCACGTTGCATCGTGAAGGAGCTCGGCGTCCTGCGTCAATTTCACTTCACTTTGCGGCGTATAATGTTGATGGGACACGCTGCTCCTTGGATGATGGGGTCCACGAAAGTGGCCGGTCGCTAGGCCGAGGCAGAAGCTGATGAAAAGTATTGTCCCCATTTTGTCTGTCTAAAACAAATCGAAAGAAATTGTCGTCGGTGATGACATTCTACCCTTTGTTGAGTGAACGTGTGCAGTTTCGGAGAAACCTAGCGACACGATACAAGTCGCCGGGTGAACTTTCGAACGAATTTAAGTCGAGGTGAGACATTAGTTTGAGAATTGCATTTCGCGGTGGTTTGTACACGATCGGGTGCGCGCGATTCGGAAAGAGCGGCGACTATCGAGGGGGCCGGTCTCCACTCCGCGACATTCCGAGCGGTGCCCATCGACAATGGGACCTGCTGGGACATGTTCATCGGGTGTGTCGCCGTGTGTGGAGTGCCCGCTTCTTCCGAGGGTCGCAACACCCCGTCGGCCAGCGACAGATGGGCGGTAGAGGGGGTCCACTGTAATTATTATGCGATTACCCACAAGCCCATTGATTTAGATTGGACCCCAGGGGGGCGAGCTGCTGCGATCGCGGGCCCGTCCCGATTTGTTACAAGACCAAGTGTGCTCGGTACATTTGCAGCGAGATCTCTCCGCGTCCCTAAGACGGGTTCAGTTTGGGCGATGTTTCTTCCGTTTCAGCTTGAATTCGGGAATGGCGAATAACAAGAGATTTTCCCCTCCCTCCTCGCGTTTTACGCGCATCGCGAAGGATACTATTTCAAATATTCCTCACGTTAAACGAGACGCTTATTCGTCGCAGAGACTAGTCGTTGCAATATTCGCGATCGTCCTTATTCGCGGCTGTGTCTGGAAAAAAGCGAGAAGGGGATACGGGTATACCGATGTACGTAGGTGTTAAGAGACACGCGAGGCCGACACGAATACGGGGCACTTAGGAATCAATTTTATATAGGCTTACGGTGATCTCGAAGCGAGAATGCATATGTTAAGGGGAGAGCGGGGGAGTCCCCCGAGGGTTTTCGATGCGCGAACGGACCCGGGGGGTCCCGACGCACCCCAATTCCGCGTCCGCCTCTCTCGCTCGTCCTCTCTCTCTCTCGCTCTTTTTTTCTCTCTCTCTGGGTGTCGAAATCTATAAATAATTTATATCATTTGGTCCATTCACGACGGGAGAGCCCATATGTACCTGTGTCGCCTTACAGGGGACCTGCGCTCACTCGAGATTCTCCTCCCTGATCGTCGGGGAGACGATTTCCCGTTGTTCGACTCGGCACGAGCGAGGCTGATGACAGAGAACCGTCCGTAAACTCTTAAGACCGTCTCAAGTCGCAGAGAAAAACTCAAAGTCGCATACAATAGCCTGCCAAGACTCAAGTTTCTCTCTGCCTTGCCTTACGTCTACGACTTAAGACAGTCTTAAGCGCTTACGACTTCTGCCATCAGCCTGGCCGGTATTCATAGTCCATTCTTATTTCGAGATCGTCTTAAGTAACGCCTTACGACGCTAATACGGCTCTGTGATTGGTTAAATACAAGGGCGGATTATGAACTCCCGAGCCTGCAGATTTGACGTTGACCTCGGTCGTGGAGCGAGATTGGCCGCGTACAGGCGCCGGTTTAACGGGACTATAACGCGAGCCTAGTATTTTATAACTCTTTCGCACGTTTGTTCCACTTACCCTTCCGGTTTCCGGGAGAGGAGCTCAAAGCGGGTCAAACGTTCCCTTAATAGAATGGTATTTTCTGTCTTTAAACGATATCTTGCAGGATTTAACGATATCTTGCGGGATTTAACGATATCTTGCGGGATTTAACGATATCTCGTGTCGCGCGAGTTTTCGTGGGGTCTTCGACGGTAAGAATCTAGACGAAATCGCTATTTCGCTGCTGACGCAGCTCAGCTTTCGATTCGGGGCGGATAGAACGGCTAATGTGTCATTGTACAGCGCGCATAAATATACTACCGTCATTATATGTCACGTAATTGCATAGTACATTATATTTATTTACGTGTCGTTAAACATACATTGCATTTGTACATAAATACCATTTAAAATTAAGCGCATTGTTACCGATATGCGTTTGTGTCCGAGCTTATATAGACTTGCGTGCCCACCGATAAGTTTATCAGGGTCGTCGGGGCGAGACCGGGCATATGCGCGTCTCGAGTCCGTCGCGCGACCCGACGCGGTCCTCGAGGCTGCTGGACATCCGCGGCGGATTATCGGCGGGTGTCTCGCGAGGCCGAGGACCACCCTTCGCGCCAAGGGTAGTCGCCCACCCCCCGCCTAGATGGAGCGCCACGTCGGCGGTCTTAACCTGGGCTCCTCTCTCTCGGGGAGAGACGCGAGCGGCGATCTCACCCCCGGGGATCTCTCCTGGCGCGGGTGGTCGTTACCTTTACCTTGTCTTGGATGTGTCTCGCGGCGCGGTGTGCCGTCGATCGACCCAGTCGTCGATGGATCCGACCCCGCCCGCGAAGATCGACTGCCACGATTCACCCTCCGCGCGCGCGCTCTCTCTTTCTCTCTCCCTCTCTCGATCTCCCCTGCGCGATAGGCACGGGGACCCCCGTGCGACTCGATCAGCGAGAATTGCGCGCGGCGCTTATCGACGTTTTTCCAAGCGGAGCTTGCGTGCTGGGCGAGTTGCTCGGAGCGCGCGGCGGCCGGCGCTCTCTTTGAGCGGGCTCTCTCGTTTGGTTTTCCTCCAAATCCCTGCGAAAAGTCGGCTAATCCGATCATCTCGCTTCTTTTGCCGCGCGGAATAAGCGCGCGGATTACTCCGTTCGGCTCGCGCCGGGCGTTCGCCGTGCGCGAGGGGCCCGGGGAGCCCGAAAATTCTCAGGGAACTCGCCCCGCGCGGAGGAGCCGGGCAGTTATCAGGGAATTTTGCCGGAACTCAGGGAATTTCGCGTCGAAATCGCACCCCTTCGGCGATCTTGCCTCTATTTTGCGAGGAAAAGAACCGAGCCGGGGCTTGGTGGAATTAGCAATTGGACGTCTGCTTTTCTCAGCGTACTTTTTTTTCAAAATATCCCTGTTGGAGGATTAAATTTTGCCAATTAAAGTATGTTCTAGGTATGCATTTTATTAAAAAAAAAAAGTATTCTATTTATCTGGAGAATATATTTTTTATCGTTTAGAAATACATCTCTGAAAGGGAGAAATATATATATTATCTTTAAAATTAAACATGTATTTAGAATATCCTTAATTAACGGAATTTAACCCTCTTGCCAAGATGTTTTAAAATGAAGGCGTAGTCCTGTTTTTGGAAGAACTTAGGGAATTTCTCGCCGACATCGCATCCCTTCGACGATCTTAGGTTTGTTTTCTGTTCCTGCACTGGTGAACTAGTGCAGTAAGCTAGAATGACAAAAAATATGCTTGTCTTACTCTAATTTATTGCACTACTTCACCAGTGTATAGGAACAGAAAACAAGCCTTTTGTCTCTGTTTTGCGAGGAAAAGAACCGAGCTGGGACTCTGTCGAATTTTAGCAGTTAGACGCCTGTCTTTTTCAGCGTACATTGTTTTTAAATATCTCTATTGGGGGGAGGGGGGTTAAATTTTGCTAAGTAAAATATGTTCTAGGTGTATATGTCAGTAAAAAAATATATTCTATTTATCTGGAGAATATATTTTTTATTGTTTAGAAATACATCTTCGAAAGGGAGGAATATAAAATGTGTCGTTATTAAAAATTGTAACATTTAGAATATATTCTTAATTAACGGTATTTAACCCTCTCGCACAAAGGTTATTTTTAAATGAAGGTGCCGTCCTATTTTTGGAAAAACGAGAGAAAAATTTTTACGCCAGACGAAATACCAGTCTATAGAAATTTCCCATCTTTCTCAAATCCGTTATTTGACACTCGAGTGACCCTTAATTTTCTTTTCCGCATGATTGTAAACGCGACGCCGAGTCCACGCGGTGGACTAAAAATCCGTCTTAAATTTGCATGCTAAAGTGCTTTAATTTTGCCGTGGAAATATGAACGAGAATGTCTGAAAATTAGGAAATTCTCAGAGGGAGGTTCTTTTTTTCTTCTTTTTACGCGACCCTTTCACGTGGACACAGCCAATAACTACTTACGCGGAGCTGTAATATTGCATTTACGCAAATTTAGACAAAATCACCGGCGGTAGTAGCGGCAGTGATATTTCTGCTATTACTTGCGGTTCGGTCCCCTTCATTCCGCGCGGCGAGAACCGAAAAGCTCCGCGTGCGGAAACCCGGCTTTTTGTTATGCATTATTACGCAACTGTTTCCGCACGGCACGGGTATCCGGTGGATATACATTTTTGGGACATTAAAACGTCCCGCAGCGCCGCGTGTATCCACGTATGTGTAATGGCGCAAATAATGACAATATTTATTAATATCGTCGCTATTTGTTTGCCGCGCGCGCGTTTTACGCGAGAGATAATAACGGTGTCGCGTGTTGTATCGCGAGAAATCGCGGCGCAGCTTTGCTCGATTTCTGTCCGTTTATCTCCCGTTAGATTCTTGTCGTAACGAAGCCCGTTAGATTCTTGGAATTCGAAATTATTGGATGACAAAGATCAAGGTTTTATTTTCCGACGAAATCGACTAGGCTTGCGATATAGAGGAAAGAAATCGGTTTTTCACCGACTTATCTAAGGTCTATTAATGTATATCTCTGGTAGTTGTACATAGTTTGCCGCGAGGAAAGCGTCAAGCATTGGTCCGTCAGAGATCCGCTCCTCCGAATCGCAGTTATCGTAACTGAATTGTGAGGCGATGTGCGGGTTTAAGGGCGCTTCATCGCGGCTGCAAATTTGAGTTGACCGAACTAGAATTTTTGAGGAGCCGGCGGAGGGCTGGAGAAAGAGAAGAAAAGGAGAGGGACGGGGGAAAGAGGAGAAAGAGAACGTCACGCAGATGCGGCGTTCGAAGGGGCGCGAGGGAGAAGGAGCGAGCGGGCGAGAAAGAGAGAGAGAGAGACAGAAGGCGGGAGAAGAACAGAGGATGTGCGTGCTTGAGGATCGAAGAGGGACGGAGATAAACTGCGGGGGTTTGCGGGAGTCGCGGGGGTGGCGTAGGAACGACGGGGAAGAGGGAAAAGGACGAGGTGGAGAGAGACAG